CTTGTTGAATTGCAGATTGTAGATAGAGCGTAGTTGCTGGGAGTTTGGTCTCTGACCAGCTCTCATACCATGTTGGGCTGAGAAAAGCCCTTAGGATCTTTCCAGAGACTAAGTCCTAGTTGTAAAAGACTTGAGTAGTGCAGCGGAAGTTGAGGTAGTTGAACCCTTGTACTAGTATATGAGAACAAGTGATTGATTAAAGAAACACGCATACAGCAATATATAGAAAATAGGAAAGTAAGGCAGTTGTAGAATACAGTTGCAGGAGCGGTTATCGAGTCGCACAGCGACTCGATTGTCGCTTCGGTTACCATCCGCGCTGTTGTAACGGTCAGTCGCAACCTCCAGTTGCGACCCTTCGAGTCCCTTTGCGTTCTTTGTCCACCCCCTCGTGTAACCTCTGTTGACTCGCGTACCCGTTGCGATCTTCCTCGAGTGTAGTGTTACACTTCAGAAACGCTTAAGTCCTTTGAGATATTTCCAACAGTGGCCATTATGAGCAAGATTGTTTGTGCTCAAACCAGCTTTCATAACTGCCTTGAATTGTCATTCAGAACACAAATATTTAAACGAGAAAACAGCCAACATACAGTATTTTTCATTAGATAAATTAGCAATTACATTATAATTAGCAGGAACCTAAAACAGTGCAACCATGACAGCCCATTCTACAATAACCATAAAAACATTGCAACATTACAGCAAATCATTAAACGAATTCTCAAAGCCCTCAATGATAATCCTCACAGCCCCACTACCCATAACAAACCCCTGCGGCGCATCGCTCTTGAAGATATCAGCACCCGCCTCCAAGCGCTTGCGAATCCACGCAACCAGCACAGTGGTTTTCGCCATAATGGCGTGTTAAAATTATATATTATATAGAGTGGTGCTGTGTTGGCATAGAGTGGTATGCAGCGAGGGTTTGGGAGTTTGGCAGTTGGCTGATACCCCAGAATAAGGCGAGTGAGAGGAGTAGGGAAGGGAGTGAGGGGGGATCAAAACCCCCGAGATACTGTAAGGTGAGTGAGGAGGGAAGGGCGTGAGGGGGGATCGAAGTCCCCAAAATAAGGTTGAGTGGGAGGAGAAGGGAGTGGAGGGATCAAAACCCCAAAATACGGTGAGTGAGAGGAGCAGGATGTGGGGGGGGGGGGGGGGGGGGGGGGGGGGGGGGCTGAAGTGTTTAAACTAAGGTAGCTGGGAACGATAGGAAGCCATAGAAATGGCAAGAGGTTTTAGGCTAGGAAAGTTGAGGAGAGAAAAGGGGTCGAGAATAGAAGAGAGAGGGATACAAGGAGGGGGGTTGTACCCTCTACAGTAGGTTTCAGTAACACCTACCAAGCCTACCAATTATATAACAAAATATATAATTATAATGAAGATGTTAGATTATGGTGGGTGAGAGGGGCAGGGAGGGAGTGAGAATCCCTGCGGAAATGACAACAAGGCACGGGAGGGGGGTTGGCACCTTTAGGGTAAGGCTAGCGAGGGGCATGGGGGGAACGGAACTCCCAACCCCCAGGTTAAGGCTAGCAAGGGGAAGAAGGTACTCCCCCACTTCTGCCTCTGGTTCACCTTGACCTTCGGGTTTTGCCTTACCTTGGGAGTTTCGGCCCCTCTCCTGGCGTGGGTCTTGCCGCGTTGCTTGGGAGAAGGGGGCTCAGAGCCCTAAGGTGAGTGAGTGGACACCAAAAGGGTTGAGAGCCCTAAGGTGAGTGAGTGGTAAGCCAAAAGGGTTGAGAGCCCTAGGTTGAGTGAGTGGAAGCAAAGGGAGCTGAAAGCCCTATGGTGAGTGTGAAAGGGGGAAGTGTTAGGATTAAGGACGGAGTCTAGGTGAACTTAGGAGCTACAGGCCCCGGGTTGAGTGGAAGGGGGTGGTTGAACGCAGAGCTCCACATGATAGGCTTGCTGGTGATGATGCCCCGCGTGTTGCCTGATGCAGTCAGTCCGACCATGTGAGTTAATTGGTTCAATCCAATCCAAGTGAGGCAAGGAGGGGGTTCAGACCAGACTAGACCAGACCGCAAGGTGCAATGTGAGCCCTGGGAGGGGGGTTAAATCTTATGTTACAAGGTGAGGCGAGAGAGGGGGTTTCATACATACCCCATTGCACAATGTAAGGAGGCATGGAGGGAAGAAGATTTCACAAGGTGAGGAGAGGAAGCAGTTGAGGAGGAGAGGAGTGGGGCAGTGGCTGCTGAGTTGGCAGCAGTGAGGGGAGAGTTAGGGCTGGCAGAGGAGTGGAGATGGGAAGTGAAGAAAGACGATGGACAGAGGGACTGGAGGTAAGGAGGCGAAGGGGGGGAGGCGAGGGGATAGAGGGAGGGAGGTGTGAGAAACAGAGGGAGTGAGGAGAGAGAGGGAAGAGTGAAGTACCTAGGGGGAAGTTGCCTTGCTCTGTTAGATATTAGTGCAATTAGTAAGTGTTAATCCCAGCAACATATTTTGGCAACCCCAGCAACATATTTTGTATATACTGGATATCAATTGCAATTAGTGCAAAAACCACCGTTGGCACAAGTGCCCGTTTCATGAATCCTGTGTCTGTGGTTGTATTTGCATGTAGAGATATTCGATTTTTTTAATTATATTAGTAAAATTATTGGCTATAATTGAAAGATGACATTATAACAATTAAACCGTTTTCTTACAAATATGTGTTCTCCCGCTTTAGGCATGTGTTCCAAAATACATATCGTATTCTACTAGTGCAAGCTCCGAGGATGTAGGAAACTGCACGTAGCGAATACCCTTGTGCGACCCACGCAAATTTGTCTACTAGTGCAACGCTTTCGAGGTTGTAGGAGCGTTGTCGTTTCTGAACTGTAGAAGGGCGAGGAGCTTGTCTTTTGCGCCGACCATGTCCACGTAGGCTCGTCGTATTGCCAAGGTTCAACTTTTTACAAAAACTTCGGCATTGCAAGAAGAGTAGCACACCTGAAACTGCACAACCCTTAGGTCGTGTCTGGTACGGACAGACGCAGCGTGAAGTGCTTGGCGGAGTGCTTGCAGATGGCGGTTTTTAGGGCCACAATGAAGGCGACCCTTCAAAAGGGATTGATACTTGCCGTTAGTAAATACGCCACCCTTGGGGCTTCCCACTTCCGTGTGGCTGATGTGTGATTGAGCTTAGAGCGAATACATTTGAGCGTTGCGAACACCAAATTCGTGCCACAGGCACTGTAACCCTAAAGACGCCGAGCGTTTGTCACACCAATTGTGTAAAAGAGACGCTTAAAGTTATTGTCCTATCCCCGAAACCCATGAGGAAAAATGGGCCGTAGTTCCTACTGCAACGCGGTAGCCCTGGGCAGAAGACTACTGCTGCCGCTAGCGGGCCACACGAGGCAGCGGGGGGGCTGCACTGGGCCGCTCACCCCTCCCTCCGATTGGGCGGCCGACCCTTGGGTCCGAGCCGGGAACGCCTGACACAGTCTGCCCGGTCCGGAACGCTCGGGCCCACTGATGCAGCCGGTGGAGACCGCCTGACTCAGCTCCGACCCAGGCCTGGGACAAGCTGACGGGGCGTCGATTCGGCCTGGTTACCCGCCCTCGCCCCAGCCCTGCGTGCCGATGTTACATCAGGGACCAAGCTGCCTGCACGTGTACCACCTCGTGTACACCAGCTGGAATTTGTGCATTTGTGCATTGGTGTACTTGTGTAATTGCAACCATTTGTGCATGCCAAATAAAAATCGAGTCGCACCACATCGAATCGAATCGAATCGGGCATGCAGAGCCCGAGGGGCGCCGAAAGGCCTGTGCTCATGATGTGTGTCAAGGCGGGAGCTGGCTCGATCGGATCCGCGTAAGCCACCACATTGTGGCTCGGGAGAGGTTGCATGCCCGAGTCGGCTGTAAAAGTTAGACTGAATGACTAGAATGTGTGATACAAGGTGCTTTTGTGGGTTGTACTCTCTAAGAGTACGCACCTATCTAGCCTATAAGACATGTATATATGTTTTGACACACACCCTAGGCTAGATGAAAGGCAGTGCATGGCAAGAGACACACAGCTCAGGGTGGCACTACTAGTCCAGCCTTTGAGGCAAGGGTCCGAAGACCAGTCAGCAAGAGTACCAACTAAGCAAGAGCAACCCAGGGCGGCACTACTAGTCCAGCCACTGAGACAAGAACCACAAGGTCAGTCAAGATAATATAAAAGTAGTACACAATCAAGTTCCTAGCAAGTGTGAAGCTATAGGAACTAGACCAAGTTGTACGCAGTGCCGCTGATGATCTTTAGGCGCAAGCGCCTTCGTAAAGATATCAGCTGTGTTGGCATCTGAGGCCAAGTGTACTACGCGGGCATGGCGGCGCTGCTGTAGCTCGCCCAGGAGGAAGTACCGCAGCTGGATGTGCTTCGCTCTGCCCTCCAGATGAGGCTCCTGACACAGGAGAATCATGGCCCTGTTGTCAGCGTACAGGACTGTGAGCAAGAAAATCAGTCAGCGGAGCTCCTGTGCCGCCATGGTACCGGCGTAGACCTCAGCCTCACATCTAGACTGGGCAACAGACGACGAACGGGTGGACCGCCACGAGATGGCGCCAACACCAAGGCTAAAACAGTAGCCGTGGGAGGACCTGAGGGTCTCAGCGTCGTCTGCCCACGAAGCGTCTGTGTGCCCTGTAAGGACCACTGGACTGTGTCCTCTTAGCACTAGCCCCATGCCTGATGTAATTGCTAGATAACGCAAAAACCTCTTAGCAGCCGAGCAGTGCTGTGGTCGGTGTCTGCCTGTGGCCACAAAGCGAGCCAGGATGTTGCTATGCGTGACACTTAGCATTAAAAAAACTTTGAAAATTGGAGTTCAGCACAAAAAAGTTTGTCCTGGAAACACATTTTTGTTGTCGAACCACTCTGTGGGAAGCTCGGACTTCGGGAGTTTGAAAATTGCGCGGCACGGCGGCTCTGACAAAAACGCGCCAACCAGCAAAACACCACAGTAGAATTTCTGCTTCTTTCCCTCTCTTCCTCTCATCTTACAGGTGTGTCCGCCATTCCTTTACCTGTCTTGGCTGTGGAGTTTCTGTCTTCCACTCATCTCCGCAACGATTATGGCTCTCGGCTGGCAGCCTGAGCTGGCAGTCTGAGCTGCAGTCACGTGTTACTGATATAATTTAAACCACTGTCTCCGGCAAGTACCCCACTATTAAAACCAGTTGTCTTCATCTCAATTTCTCTTGCCCCGCCGCTTGTGCTTCTCGATCAGCCCTTTCCGTCTAGCGCTGCTGCTGCTGCTCTTAGTAAGATGGTCGAAACGAAAGCCGCGACGAGGAGTGCGATGAATGTCGAAACCACTGGCAGGGGAGAGAGGAAAGGCGCCATGGACCGGTTCGTCGTGCGACGCATGCCGCCGCCGGTTAGCGACGGCGACGGCGACGGCGACGGCGACGCAAAAGACTGTCATCCAAAGAGCGAAACGATAGGCAGGGCTGGCGCCATGGATCGGTTCGTGGTGCGAGGCACGCCGCGGATACGCGACGGCGACGGCGACGGCGTCGGCGACGCGAAAGGCTATCCGAAGAGCGTCGGCAAGACAGGCGCCATGGACCGGTTCGTCGTTCGCGGGAAGCTGCCGTTAGTAGGGCACAGAAGCGGCGACGGCATCGATTGCGGCGGCAGGAGGATTGTACGGCGAAGGCACGTATATCGTCTTCCCCCTTCCCTGGACCCTCTAGGCTAGTTTTGTTCATTCGCATCAATCGACACCTCAATCCGCCCTATTTGTTAGCCGCCTGAATTTCCGCTCCTTCACGCCACCTCATTCCGCTCCTTTCTCTCCTCGATCCGTTAGAATTGCCCTTCCTAGTTGCTCCTTCCTCCTTTCCTTCTCCCCTTCTCTCTTCTCCCCCCCCCCCCCCCCCCCCCACCGAGGCACATTTCGGCGTTGGAGTGGCAGACCACCGGCCGGCTTGCTCTGTTGAGCCCCACCAATGGGTCCTTTGCGTTACAGTGCGGTGCTTTGCATGACTCCGTCAGTCCCTTCTTTCCCCCCCGCAGGCACATTTCAGCGTTGGAGTGGCAGACCACCAGCCGCCTTACCCTGAATGCCAGGCTCGGCGCGCTGCAGCAGCTGCTGCAGTCATACTCTCAGACGCTCGCCCTGTGCCCGCCCTTCCTGGAATCGCCGCAGGTGCTGCTGGGAAGGAGGGGGGAGTTGGGAGAAGGGGGGGGGAGGAGAAGAGGGATTGTGGCGATGGATGGTGTGGAGAAGCATAAGTATTGGGTGGGCGAGGACGGGATGTGGAGTAGGTGCAATGTGAACGGGACGGGACGGGATGTGGAGTCTGTTCGTCGTGTGTTCGTCGTGTGTTCGTCGTGTGTTCGTCGGGTGTGTTAGTGCCTGCTCGTATTCTTCGCACCGGATTCATTCACTGCTGTATGGATCTGCTGATCATCACAACTCGTCTTCTGCTGTCCTGTCCGCTAACTTCAGTCCGCTTCATCCTCTCGCCTCTACCCACCCACCGCTTGTCTGTGTTTGCCTCGGCAGGTCGCCTTCCCCCTCCGTGCAGCCACCCCTGCTCCCAGGTGAGTTCCTTATCGCTCTCTGATCGTCCTCTTACCGTCCCTGCACATCCCTATCGTGAAACGCGCCAAAATACCACATTCACCCTTCTCCCTGTCCCCCCCACCCTGCCCTCCACCCATCCCCTATCCCCCCCCCAACCCCCCTTCCCCGTCGCACTTCTCTCCCTGTTCCCGCTTCCCCCGTCTCCCTCTTCCCCCCTCTCCCACTTCCCCCCTCTCCCTCTTCCCCCCTCTCCCACTTCCCCCCTCTCCCTCTTCCCCCCTCTCCCGCTTCCCCCCTCTCCCGCTTCCCCCCTCTCCCGCTTCCCCCTCTCCCTCTTCCCCCCTCTCCCTCTTCCCCCCGCTCCCTCTTCCCCCTCTCCCTCTTCCCCCTCTCCCTCTTCCCCCCTCTCCCTCTTCCCCCCTCTCCCGCTTCCCCCCTCTCCCACTTCCCCTTCTCCCTCTTCCCCCCTCTCCCTCTTCCCCCCTCTCCCTCTTCCCCCTCTCCCGCTTCCCCCCTCTGCCGCTTCCCCCGTCTCCCGCTTCCCCTCTCTCCCGCTTCCCCTCTCTCCCGCTTCCCCCCTCTCCCGCTTCCCCCCTCTCCCGCTTCCCTCCTCTCTCGCTTCCCCCGTCTCCCGCTTCCCCTCTCTCCCGCTTCCCCTCTCTCCCGCTTCCCCCCTCTCCCGCTCCCCCCTTCGCGCAAGCACCCAGGCCCTACATCTCGAACCTGGCATTCCACCCCGCGTCGTGCTCTGCCCCTCGCCTTGCTGCCGCTACTTCCACTGGCCTGCTCGCCGTCTACTCCACTCCACATCACATCTCGTCCGCCCATGGTAGGCTGCATGTCCTACCAAGGCTTTCGTGTTCAATGTCACGCAGTCGTGTTTAAAGGCACTTCCACTGGCCTGCTCGCCGTGTACTCCACTCCCCATCACATCTCGTCAGTCGGTGGTAGGGCTACCGTCTACGGCGTCTCAGAATTCCAGCGTGTGCTTTGTAAGGCGCGTCTGATTGTTATAACGAGTGTTCTTCAATCCGCAGCCGCACATCTCGTGAGCGCATGGCATGGGAGTTATCAGTCTGCCTTACCTTCTGTTCCTAATCTTGGTTTCTGCTTTTATCTCCCATCCCCCCTCTCCCCTCTTTCCCCCTCCTCCGCAGACCTCTCTCCAGTGCTGGAGTGCCGTATGGGGCCAAACGGGGTGGAGGGGATGGCATGGGAGGAGGAATCGGTCCGATCTACTTTCCAGTCCTGTTGTTTCGTATTGGCTTTCGTATCCGTTTCTCCCCTCCTCCGCAGACCTCTCTCCAGTGCTGGAGTGCCGTGTGGGATCGAATGGGGCAGAGGGGATGGCATGGGAGGGGGCGAGAACAGCAGGGCAGGTGAGTGGAGTGAGGAGGAGGACGGGAGACGGGAGCATGGCGGCATGAAGAGCTGCAAATGAGACGATTTTGGTCGCATGGCATGGCATGGCATGGCATGAGCATGGCATCTGTACACACGTGCCATTTGAGGCGCCTCAAGTGTTGCAGCGCATGACATCTGTGCGTGCACGTGCACGTCTTCCTCCACACACACACAGTCATACTCACAAGCTTTGCGTGCGCACCTGTGTGTGTGTGTGTGTGTGTGTGTGTGTGTGTGTGTCTGTGTGTCTGTGTGTCTGTGTGTCTGTGTGTCTCTCTGGGTGTGTGTGTGTGTGTGTGTGTGTGTGTGTTTGGTGCGTGTGCGTGTGAGCAGATAGCTCTAGTGGATGGCACTTCGTCCGTTCACCTCTGCTCTTTCACAGAAGCATCGCACCGTTTCTCTCGTCTTGTAAGCCTACCCAACACGCCTACCCAACACGCCTACCCAACACGCCTACACAACATGCCTACCCACTTCCCAAACTCCTTGTGCGTTGATCAACACACTCTCTACCGCAGTCTGTGCCCCCACATTCGCGAGCCCTTCCCGGCTGCTTCCATACTTCTTGCCCCTCTCTGCCATCCTGCCTTCACCCTACTCTTGCTGCTATTCCGCTCACTCTCCACTAACCCTCGCCTCCTCAAGCCACCACTCCCCAACCTCCCCAACCCCCCAGATTCCCACCTTTCAACCCCCCCCACCAGTCCCACTCACCATCGCGCAGCCAGCTGCTCACATTCACCTCATCCGCCTCAACCTCACCACCCCCTCCCTCTCTCTGCTTTCAACCCACTTTCTCACTGACTTTCCTTCGCCCCTGCCTCATCTCCCCACCTCTCCACCCTCCCCTGCAACCAGTCCCTTGCACCGTCGCGCATCCAGCTCCTCTCATCCGCCCCGATGCCTTCGTTCTCGGACGTGGCCTTCCTCCCCTCCTACTCCTCGTGGTGAGCCACTTGCACCCAAGTCGCCATAGTGTCGACACAAGGGCGTTCTGTTTCTGGGAATTCTCAAGAACAAAATGCGTTCCCATCCCATCCGCCTCGTCCTGTCCCGAGGAGACTTTTGAGTAATGGGCGGGTCTGCGTTCCCATCCCATCCGCCTCATCTCAAAAGTCACCTTCGGGTCTGGGGCCGAGAAACAGGGGGAGGGGAGGTAATGGGCGGGGAGACTTTTGAGTCGACTCAAAAGTCACCAAGAACAAAACGCGTTCCCATCCCATCCGCCTCGTCCCGTCCGCCTCGTCCCGTCCGCCTCGTCCCGTCCCGTCCCCCTGCTTTTTCCAACGCGGCCTTCCTTCCTCCCCTCCTACTCCTCATGGTGCGCCGCATATATACCCATGGTCCCTCACACCGCTAAGAGTTGCCTCCACTCGCAAGGACTCGTGGATTGACTCTATGGCGACTTGGGTGCAAGTGGCTCTATATATACCCATGGTCCCTCTCACCGCTAAGAGGTGCCTCCACTCGCAAGGACTCGTGGATCGACTCTATGGCGACTTGGGTGCAAGTGGCTCTATATATACCCATGGTCCCTCACTCGCTCAAAGACCTTTTTTGGGCCTAGAGCGGAACGGTGTGGGGTGAGCGCTGACTCATTGACTGGCCAGCAGCACCTTCAGAAGAAGCAATAGCTGACTGGCTGGCACTTCGGATCTCCTTTGTGATTTTGTAGCGCCTCAAAATGTTTCAGGCTAGTTGCTCTAGTTGTTCTAAGATGAGCTTTGAGAGACTCATTGACTGAGTGACTGCTTGACTGAGTGACTGCTTGACTGAGTGACTTGGCTCGAGGACTGCATTATGGTTTCCCACAGAGTATGCCTGCTGCGCACAGAGCACATGCACGCACATACTCTGCTGCACACTTGCTGCATGTCCTTGCCTGCTGTTGTTTCTGCACTTACTGCTGCTCTTATCAGCATACACTATCCTCGTTTTGCAGAGGGCCTGTCTCAATGTGCGTGCCAGCACATGCGCACTCCCCTCCATGCACCCATGCATCCATGGCACTGCGGCAGCTACTCCCTATCTCCCCATGCACTCGTTCACCCATGCATCCGTGGCAGTGTGGCAGCAAGCACGGCATCCCGAGCAGCAGTGTGGGACGTCAGAGCGTCCCTGACTTCTCCAGCCATCTTATTCCGCCTTCCAGACACCAGACGAGCTGCAGCCACCGCTACAACTGCGATCAAGTGCCTTGCTGCCGACCCAGATGCTTCCGTACGTACCTCTCTGCTGCCACTCATGGTCGATCAATCCGCCTCTGTCTGGTTCGTAGGTTTGTCCATATGCTTGTCCTCCTGGGCAATAGCCCCTGACTTTCCCCCCTCTTTGACAGCGTTACACCCCCTCCCCTCTCCCCACTATCAGGTGGCAATACAAGGGCTATCAGTCAACTTCAAGTCTCCTAATCCCTCTCCAATTTTTTCCCAACCCATCACCAGGTCATCTATGGTGGCTGTTCCGATGGCTCCATCTGTGCGTGGGAGATGCGTCAAGGAACAGGAAACTCTCAGGGCGCCGAAAACCCTAAAATCTGCTTTTGAATCGACTCAAAAGCAGACTCAGGGCGCCGGAAACCCTAAAATCTGCTTTTGAATCGAATCAAAAGCAGACTCAGGGCGCCGGAAACCCTAAAATCTGCTTTTGAATCGAATCAAAAGCAGACTCAGGGCGCCGGAAACCCTAAAATCTGGACAGCTCTTGTTGTACTTACCTCTCACAGTCCTTCTCTCTCCGCTCTCCCCACCACCAGGTCATCTATGGTGGCTGTTCCGATGGCTCCATCTGTGCGTGGGAGATGCGGCAGGGCACTGGGAACCACCAGCCTCCCCCACTCTCATCCTCGTTACAGTCTCTTGCTGCTGATAATTCCCAAAGCCAAGGAGCATGGAACCACCAGCCGCTGCCGTTGCCGCGTCCTACCTCGCAGCAGCAATGTGCGACACCAGAAGCCGAGGGGACCATGGCAGTGGGAACCAGAGGGGCTCAAAAGGCACTCCGAGCACAGGGGAACGTAGGCAGTGGGAGGAGTGGGAAAGGGGAGGGAGGGAGGAGTGGTGGGGGGAGTGTGGAAGGTGTGGCTTCTGGGGAGGGGAGTGGGGTAGCAGAGAAGGGTGGTGGGAAGATGGGGAAGGAAGAGGGTGTTCTGAAGGAAGTTGAAAGGGATATAGACTGGGAAATAGGGGTGAGAAGGGGTGCTGGTGGGTTATGGAGCAGGGCAAAGGAGGGAGCGAGAGAGTGTGGAGGAGGTTTGAGACAAGGAGAAGGAAGCTCACGAGAGAGTGAAGGGGGCTTGGGTGAAAGAGAAAGAGAAGGAGAAGGAGAAAGAGAAAGTGAAAGAGAAGGAGAAGGAGAAGGAGAAAGCGAGAGAGGACGAGAAAGAGACTTGCGGGAAGGTAGACGTGAGATGCAAAGTGCGGCAGAGTGTGCGGACAGCAGTGCAAGGGAGTGTGCAAGCGGTAACGATATGGGGCGAGCGAGTGGAGATGTAAGGGTTGGCGGGCAAGGGATGGCTGTTGAGGCAAGGATTCAGTCGGAGAGAGCAACGACTGGTGGGGTGAAGGGTAGGGAAGGTCCGGAGCACAGGATACAGGAGCTTGGGATTGGAGAGGAGAGGAGAGGCGACAGCAACGGTACGAGGGACAGCAGCAATAGATGCGGGAACTTTAGCAGCAGCTTGAACGGCGGCGGCGTTAGCAGCAGCAGCAAGAGCAGGGCGAGAGAGAGCGCTCGAGCAGCCTTGGAAGGAATGAGAAAGAAAACCAAAGGCACGGGGACAGGCATGGGAGCAGGCACGGGAGCAGGTATGGAAGTGGATGGATGTCTGGAGCTGAACATTGAGAGAGGATTCGCCAAAGTGCAAGAGATGGGCCAGGTTAGAGGTGCCATGATCCATGATTGGGTGGGAGGTTCAATGGGTTTTAACAGGGCGGCTGTTGCTTGGGGGGCTAAGAAATCTGCCCCTTTCACTCCCACGGATCTGCTTGGCGCGCAGGGCTGGAGTGAATCGGTGTGGGGGTGCAGCCGTGCCAGCCGAATCAGCTATGCCAGGCACAGCAGCGGGGACTGTGCTAGTCACCATCAGGTGACCATCAGCAGCAGAGACAATACAGGTGGCAGCGAGACGAGGCTTGGACGGAGTAGCTTGGATCATTCCTCCAGGTCTAGGGGGGGTCCTGCTGGTCGATTGGAGGTTGGCGCAAGGGTAGGGGGTGGGTCGGTAAGAGTGGGGATGGATGGAGGGGAAGGGGAGCACAGGGAGGCTGGTAGGGCAGCGGTACCTCGTGAGTCGATATCAGCCGCAGCAGTGACAACTGCAGCGGCAGGACTAGGGGCGGCGGCATTGGGAGTGGGAGGAGCAGTATCGGGAGGAGCAGCAGCAGCAGCAGCAGCAGCAGATAGGCAAACGGCAGAAAGGGGAGGCACTGGGACAAGGGAAGGAGGAGGATGCAGAGTAGAGGATTCCCATGGGAGACATGTTGGCATGCAGTGGCAGGGCAAAGCTGAACAACGCACACTAAGAGAAGGAGGAGGAGCAGGAGGAGCAGGAGGAGGAATGAAGGCAGCAGGCAACAGCGCCAGAAGAAGAAGTCCTGCAGTGCAGTCTGCTCCCTCACTATTTGGTGGGACGCCGTCAGCATCATCTGCATTCTGCTTTGGACGAGAGGTGAGCCGGATCATACATTATCTGCCAACAGGTTCCGCCCTCACGAATTTGGAAGTGCAAAAACAAAGTGAGGGATGATGCACCCTCCGGGTTCAGCTTCTTGCTTCTGTTTCGCACCCTCCGGGTTCAGCTTTTTGCTGCAATCCACTCTCCTGGTTTCAACTCTGTCACTCATAAGGCGTACATTAGGTGCACGCTGTCCACTGTATCCAGTATCCCACTGCAGGGCACAGCGCCCACAAACACAACCGCCTTTACCCAGTGGGCTTTTCCTCGCTCTTTCTTCGCCCCAAATCTCCGTTCTTTCTTCTCTTGATTCCCTCTCTGTGTTCTCTCTTTTCTCATCTCTTTTCTCATCTCTTTTCTCATCTCTTTTCCAATCTCTTCCCCCTTCCCTTCTGCGCTGTCTTCTTCTACTCTGTCCCATGGCAGCATGGCGCTCTCCCTCTCCACCTCTTCTCCACCTCCCATCTCTTTGGCTCCGTGCCCTCTTTACAGGTAGAGTCCTTTTGCACTGCACCTCTTATGCACTGTGCTTTTGCTACACCTAGTAGTGCTGTTGTACAGCGTAGTGTTCAATGCAAGTAAAATAGAGTTGAACCGATGAACTTCATTTGATGGGCGCCTGTCTTTGAGGCGCCTCAAAAATAGACTCCTGTCGCTACCAAGATCCTCTCAACCTTCATTTGAACTTCTCTTTTTCTCTTCAATCTGCTGCAGGATCCCTGCTGCCGTCCAAATGTTTTCTCCCCGCTACTTCTGCCTTTCAACCACCAGTTAGAGAAACAAAAAAACAAAACAGAGAAAACAGCAACAACAATAGCTTGAATCACTATTTCTACGTAATCCCCCACTTCTTCCTTCCACTTCCAATGCAATCCCCATTCTTTCCTCCTTTCCGTACGCTCCCACCACGAGCAGGAGCAAGCGGGAATGACCTCCTCAGCAGTGCAGCACATATCCTTTGACCCCGCGTCCGCCTCCCGCCTTTCCTTCCACCTCAACAACGGCTGGTACTTGGCTGCTCTCCATCCTTCAACCCAACTTCAGACTTCACCGTTGTTCTGCTTCTATCTCCTTTCTCCTTCTCCCTGCCTTCCCACCTCTCCTTCCACCTCGGCAACGGCTGGTGCTTGCCACGCTCCCATAACTCCCCTCTGCACTCCGCTTCCTTTCTCCTTTTCCCCTGTCTGTTCACATCTGACCTTGCCTCTCAACTTCCTATCTTACCACCATGCCTTTTCAGTGTGCCACCTTGCAACATGCCACCTTGCAACATGCCACCTTGCAACATGCCACCTTGCAACATGCCACCTTGCAATGTGCCATCTTGCAACGTGCCACAACTCTTCTCCATCAGTCTGTCGCCCCCGTCTCCTCTCCCTCCCCTCTACCTCTCTCTTCTTGCCCCCCATTCCCCACGACCCCGATGCACCATCAGGAGTGGTGGCGCATTGCATGCGCCCTCCTTGTCCCCCACCCACACCCACTCTCCGCCCCCTCCCTGGCCTCCATCCTTCTCAACCTCCCTCTTTCCCCTCTACATCCCCATATCCCCCCATTCATCTCCCCCCCCTCCCCATCCCCCCCCCCTCTCCTCCCTCCCTCGCCCGCAGGAGTGGGGTGTTGCATGTGCCCTCTCTGTCGCTCTCCCACATCCACTGCCCGCCCCCTCCCTGGGTGTCTACTCGGTTGGAAGAGGACGAAAATCTAGGCGAGCAGCACCACCCGCAGCTGGCGCCGCCAGTGGTTGATCCCTGGCGCTGGAGGCTTCTCACCCGCCGCACTCCCGCTTGGCTTCCAAACTCGGTGCGCCTCGGTCACTCGGTCACTTGGGTTCCCCCCGGTTTTTGAGTAAAATCAAAAGCTTACTCGAGTCAATTCGGTGCACCTCGGTTCGCCATGTTCCCGCTCTAAAATTTCTCATTCAATATCTCACTCAGGCCCTCACTTCCTTGACTCTTCCCCCCCTTCTCATTACCCCCTGTCTCTAAATTCCCTCACTCCCCACCATCCCCCTCATTTCCTGCTGCCTGTCAGGTACTTTGTGTTCCTTCTGCCAGGGACCCACACCTCTTCTTCCTAGACTTAGGCTCGGGATCTCCACACGCCACCCCATGCTCCAGTGCATTAAATCAAGGGTATGGAGGTTCCAATAGATTTTAGCCCTACCGTTCTTTTACTCCCGCCTGCTCTTTTGCTCCCGCCCGTTGGTCAACCTTTGCATCAAGTTGAACCACGTTTCTATCCCTGCTCACCTTGTGATCTCAGGCTGGCCCCTTCAAAGCCACACTACAAGGCCCGTACATCAAGGTCAACACATATTGCTGCTGTGACTGCTCCACTCGCTGCAGTGGCAGCAGCCCCCAATGGACTCGACGTCATTGCAAGCACTATAGTGAGTATCTATGTTGTATGTTGGCTTCTACATCAGCTAATCACGTTGCCGTTATGAATACTGTGAGCTGGTGCCTAAATTTATGTTCGACTTCATCTCCTAATGGTTGTATGGAGTGCAGGATGGAGCTATGGTGGTGGTGTCCCCATTCTTGCCAGCTTGATTGATTTGGTGGTTCACTTGGTTTAAATAGAATGTCACCTTGATTGAAGAAAAGAGTTATAGTTGTTTTGAATGTAGTCCGCTTACGGTAATTTTGACAGACGAGGAAGCTGCCCCTGAGTCCTGACCTGTCAAGTAGACAAGTTCTCCACCAATCGGAGCGACCATTTCGAGTTGATGGCCCCTCGATTAGCGGACGGGCCACGCTGAATCCAGAATGACTGCTGACGCAACGTGTCAATGATACCCCGCCCGGGGTCCACATGCAGCGGATTTATTTGGAACAGGTCAGATATTTACAAACTTTCCTCAGCGAGGCAGCATTCAAATGGCAAAACTCTGAAACTCGCCACCAGTACAGTCGACGCCCAGCCTTATCGCAGCTCAATTTGGCGCCCAATCAGAATTCGTTTCCAAAACCCCCGATATACGGGAAATGGGATATCCGTTTGAGTCACTCATGATTGCGTCTGCGACCAACATATAGCAAGAGACAAGTCGTTGCCGACGAGGTTTCGTCGCCACGGAACTGTGCACCGCCGTCGCCTGATCGCTTCACAAGAGTCGCACACTGGCAACAAACATCGCCACACAAGCCCCCCCCACAAATACCCACCCATTTCGCCGTGTGCGATTGCGAAAGCCTCATTTGCCCGTGGCGAGGGAAAAATAAACACTTGACCGATTGAATCTTTGGCACCCTAAAATCTTGTGCGACTCTGACGAGCTTCGTTTTGTACCCCTTGCAGTGCTTTTTCGTGCAACCACTTTCCATCCCTCGTCACGTGAATTGAAATGCCCAATCTCACCGTCCATTCCAATCCCCTCGTTTCGTATTCGTCGCTCAACATTTAGGACTCTGCCCTACGACTGGTTGAGCGTTCACGAGATCTGCTTCCACCAATTAAAAGCAATTCAGGCTGAGCCAGGATCCACGAAACAAAACTGTAGATCCCTGAAAAAAAACTAGTTCCCCTCAAAAATTCACCCCACATATCTCGCATCGCATTCCCAATGCCCTCGATAATATTCCCCCCGCTCCCTTCCTGGTCCGTCAGATGATCAGAACGGCGCTAGCCAAGAACCCCCACCCCCTTACTCTTCCCTCTCCCTCCCTTCGCGCAATCACACATCATCAACGTTGGTCCTCCCACCCACTTCCCACTTTAGCCCTATCAAAAACTGGCCAGACCATACTATTTCCAATCGCCCTTCCCAGTCGTCCTGATACGACTGAGCTCATCACTCTGTCCTACTGATCTCCCGTCTGTCAGATAAACCGAACCATGGCGGCGATATCGACGGCACAGGCGAAAGCTCTCGCTTTCCCGCTCGTCGACACCTCCAGAACCGCCGCATCCGCCGCGCGGCCTGTGGTGTGCCTAACTGCGGGCGGTTCCCGGCGCAGACCAGCCAACCTTAGCTCACGAAAGTCAACACCCGCTCTCCTCGGCGGATCTAAAACCCCTATCTCGGCGCACAGATCTGCCTCGTCCTCGGACTCTTTTCGACCACAAGCAGCTACTGGTGGCATCGACGGATCGAACAATGGCGGCAGCAGCGGCGGCGGGGGCGGCGGTGGCGGCGGCGGCGGTGGCGGCAGTGGGGACAGCAGCAGCAGCAGCGGAAGCGGTGGAGGGTTTAACCCGTTTGCGGCTTTTCTCAAAGGATGGAACGATCGCGTCGCCGCCGATCCGGGGTTCGCGTTTAAAGTCGGCGCGGAGATGATCATCGGCGTGACGGCGTGCGTGCTGGGCGACATGGCGGCGCGTCCTAACTTCGGCATGAACGAGCTCGACTTCGTCTTCTCCACACTCGTTGTCGGATCCATCCTTAACTTCACGCTCATGTTCCTCCTCGCCCCCACCTCCGCCGCCGGCGCCGCCGCCACCCTGCCCGGGATCTTCGCGTCCAGCCCGACAGGTCACATGTTCGAGGCCGGAAAGTACTCCCTGGTCCAGCGCGCCGGCACCTTCGCGTACAAGGGGATCCAGTTCGGTGCGGTAGGGTTCGTGGCGGGGCTCTTCGGTACGGCGATCTCCAACGGTCTGCTCGCGATCCGCAAGAAGCTCGATCCGAGCTTCGTGGTGATGAACGAAGCGCCTCCGACGGTTCTTAACGCTGCCACGTGGGCGCTGCACCTGGGTCTTAGCAGCAACTTGCGGTATCAGAGCCTGAACGGGCTCGAGATGGCGCTCGGCGCGCGGCTGCCGCCCGGCGCGTTCAAGGCGGTCGTTTTCGCGCTCCGAGGAATCAACAACGTGATCGGCGGCACGTCCTTTGTCGCGCTGGCGAAGCTGACCGGATCGCAGAAATCGGGCACCGCCGCCGCCGCCGCCGCGGCCGGGGACGCTGACGCGGAGAAGAAGGCCGTGTAGACGGGCCCAGCGCGGTGAGGTCGATCGGCGTTGCTGCGTCTTCCGGGTGACGGGTATGGGGCATGTAGATCTACCGAGTGTGAGGAGAGAGCAGGGCGAGATATGGGGAGGGAGAGATAAAATGTGAGGTTGGAGGCTTGCAGATTAACCGTTTTTTAGCACGAGGTGTGAGGAGGAAGCGGTTGGAGGGGAGGAAAGCGGAACGATTGGTGTAGATTGTGGAACACGGGTTTCTGCCTTCTAGGATCATAAGGGCGTAGATCGTGGTTTTTGTCTGGGGCTTTAGGGGGGTTTAGGAGTGCGTAAGCGCGCGGCAAGCGAACGCCCTCGTTTCCTTGTAGCCCTTAATTGCACTTTGGAAGCATTGGCTTTTACGTGTGGCTTTTACGAAGCGAAAGCGTTCCTGCATGCGTGAACGAACATCTATATTCTGCACCGGACCTGCTATCAATGGTTCTGCTACCCCCCTCCCACCCCTCGCCCCCCCCCTCCCTTCGTACAATCTTTCCCCTTCCACCCAGCCGCCCCGCCCCCTCTTCCCCGCACATCTTCCCTCATCCTTCCAACCTTACCCCCACCTTCCCCTCACTCTCTTTTTTCTCAGACCTCTCATTCGCTCCCACACACTGATTCCACTGTAAACCCCACCCCTTCCCCCTCCTTCCGCCTGCCCGCACCCGTACCCATTCCCCCCCTCGCCCTTGCGTCCGCCATAGTGTGCCGAACTCGTGGTAGTTTGTTCCTCATGCTCCACCTCGTCTTCTAGTCTTCTTTCCCCGTGTCTGTGCTCCCATGTCGTCTGCCCGTTGTCCGTCCGTCCTGCCCACATTCTCTTCTGCCCGCAGTCTGCTCTGCCAACTTTTGTGTGTCGCTTTCCTGTTCGATCGGAACGGCCGTTCCATGCTGCGCGCTGCTCTGCTCAACTCTGCCCTCCCCTCCCCCTCCCCTCCCCTTCTCTCCTCTCCTCCCCTCTCTTCTGCTCGCGTCCCTCTGCCCTACGGCTGACCCCTCTGTCTCGCAACAGCCGAGCCAGTCTGCTCTGCCTTGCCCGTAACATCCCTAGTTATCCACCCTTACACCGTTTTCCCCCTCGCACGTTCCTACCTCTGCCATCCCTGCCTTACATAAACCCTCTCCCTCGTTTCTTTTCCCTTTGTAAACCCCGCCCCCCTAAACCCTGCCTCGCCACCCATACCTCTTGCAAGCCAACATTTACCTCCCAACCAGTTTACCCTCACTCTCCTGCATGACCCAATCCCATAGCATCACTACATAGATGCGATTCTGTCATAGCTATTACGTTCATAACCCACTTCGCATCCCCAGCCTATCCAGTCAGACGTTACAATCACACCATCACACGCATGTAACTCTGCTCACTCCACCACTCCTCTCCTATCGAGTTCATCTCGTCTCACCCAGTCCATGCATGTTGCCCCTCGGATCAATGCCATACGAATTATGTCGGTCCATAAATGAAAGCATAAGATATAGCATGCAGAGGCGAGCCCCCCCCCACCCAACGCTTTGTTCCGACATGCCTATTTCTTTTTTTATAAGTGCACTTGCAACTTCCAGTGCAGTCCCATTATGTCTCGCAGCATTGTACAGTTGGCGTTGCACACGCCCCCAGTCTCGACCATGTTGCATGAGCTAGTGTAGATGTGAAACAATGGGCAAAATGGGCTTGGGATAGGGAGAACATTCGTCGGTAATATTGTAACAGACATACAGTAGCACAGCTCTAATCCAATCCGCATGATATCATCCTCACTACAGATTGCTTAGCTCATGTTCTGACAGGCCAATCCAGTATCACCTTCAACTACCATTCTGGCTTACTCAGACAACATCTCGCCTATCGGCCACCTACAGACCCGGAATCTGCCTGCTTACCAGAGCACGGCTCTATACTCTTCCCCTCCGCTTGACTGCTCTGGCCCAGGGCCCCTCCCAGCACAGCAGCGGTAGGTGAAAGGAGCACCGCCAGCTCGGCTAGGGCAGCTGAACCACCAGCACCATTATAAATAGCTGCTGCTGTCTCACTGCCACTCCCCCGGACGGTGATATCCCCTTCCATGACTGCATGCACGCCCGCAGTGTTGGCAAGAAGGCTGCTGCTAACTGTACCGGAGCTACCTTTAACGAGTACACTGCTCATGCTTGCATCAATGCCTCCAGAAAGCAGGTTGCCGAAGCTGCCAGCGCCGCTGCTGCCGAGGCTGGCACCGAAGCTGGCTCCCAGGCCTGGCGAGAGCAGCAGATCCGCAGCAACCTCTCTCAGAGCCTCGGCACGAGCTTCAGGGCCGAGGAAGCCAGAGAGAGAGAGAAGAGACTGGGCGCCTCCTGAAAGGAACGCGGTGATGGACGGCTGAGATCGCGAGAGCTCGACAATACGGACGCGGCGAGATGGGTCGATCCCAGCCTTTGACTTGGCGATTTGAACGGCGGTCCAGATGCCTCCGAGGGAATCCACTAAATTGGCTTTAAGGGCTGCTTGTCCGGTCCATACCCTGCCCTGTGCCACTGCTTCCATGTCGTCTTCCTGTGAGTGGAAAGGGTGGGGAGAAGAGAAGGAAGCAATGCAGTGAACTTGAGTGTTACTAGCAGACCTGCCTAGCATGTCCAAAGTCTGCCCTGTGTCACTGCCTCTGTATCCGCCTCCTGTGCACAAAAAACGCATGGTGCGGACTGGGGAGTGGATGGAAGGGGGTGTGTGACCGCGTCTCAACAGACAGCAGTTCAGCCCGCACCTCTTGTACAACCAGCACTGCAGTCCAGATACATGCAAGGGAGGAGTCCCCTAGACTCGACATGAGGCAAGGGACATGGGGGGGGGGGGGGGGAATCACGCAGCAGGCGGGCTGACTCATCAGTGGTTCGTTGTGCAAAGCAGCAAGCGCTCCTCGTCAGGGACAGGTTCTTGAAGCGCCTCAGCAGTGGACTTCCTTGCGCAAAGCAAGCGCTCCTTGCCAGAGACAAGATATATCTTCTCCATTGGGTGAGAAAGAGGGAAGGGGCAAGGGGGCGTACCTTCATGGAGCGAGACAGGGCAGCCTTGTCTCGGAAGCGCTGGTAGGCGATCTTGGCCCCACGGGCGAAGTACTCCTCCTCGTCAGGACTGCGTGTAGGGGCGAGGAGAGGAGGGGGGGGTGATGAGAAGATGAAGAGATTGAAGGGATAGGCTGCGTGAAGGAACGAGGGTTCACACAGAAGTAGTGCTTAGAACACAGCAAAGTGAAAAAAGCAAAGCAAAGCTAGGGCGGAGGGACTCACGTGAAGGGGCGCTGGTCGGCATTGAGCTCTGCGAATCGGCCGCGCGAGATGATCTCCTTGCTGAAGCCGATGCGCTCGTACAGCTCGCCCAGGCTGAACTTGCCTGCGGGAGAGAATGAGCGAGTGTGGGGGGGGTGACAGGGAATGAAAGAGAGAGAGGGTGCTTTCCAGGTGTGCGTTTCCTTAGCTATCACATATCCTAAACCATTAACGTAACCTCTTGCACAAGCGTTAAATTTTTTTGACAACGAAATCTTAATGTTTGGGCTTTTGAGAAACTGCAGGCAGAGAAAGTTTGACTTGGGACCTCAAAACAGCTGGGGATGTCGATGGAGTGTTTGAGGACCATTGTTCGACTAGCTGATGTGTGTTGACTCCACGCAAGCCCAAGCCCATACCTGTGACGACGCCAATGGAGCCGGTAAGCGTGAGCGGCTCGACCACGATGTGCGGAGCAGCAGGGAAGGGCAAATGAGCTCGCTAGCTCCTAACCCTGCAGTCCCTATGTTATGTTCCGACTTCCAAGCAAGCCCAAGTCCGTACCTGTGACGACGCCAATGGAGCCGGTAAGCGTGAGGGGCTCGGCCACGATGTGCGGGGCCGCCATGGCCATGTAGTAGCCACCGCTCGCCGCCACGTCCGACATGCACGCCACCACCGGCTTCACCTTGGCCAGCTCACGGATCTCGTTCCACATGCTGGGGGGGGGGGGAGGGGGGGCGAGGGGTGGAGGAGCGGAAGGGGGGAAGGAACATGTCATATAAGTCAGAAGAACATCGTATGGCATGCACGCCACCATGCGCTTCACCTTGGCTAGCAGCCAATGATCGTTCCATGTCCCTCACCCCATTCGACCCATTCAGTTCAGTGTCATTTGACCCCATTGACCCCATCAACCCCATCCACTCAAAACTCGAAACAGGAACATCCCCCCCATCACGAGCTTGTTCAATTCGGAGGGGTGAGCTGCTTGTTCTCCATCACCATCTGCAGCTTCCGAGTGATGCCTATTAGACCCTATTAGACCCCATTAGATCCGCATGATATCATCCTCACTACAGATTGCTTAGCTCATGTTCTGACAGGCCAATCCAGTATCACCTTCAACTACCATTCTGGCTTACTCAGACAACATCTCGCCTATCGGCCACCTACAGACCCGGAATCTGCCTGCTTACCAGAGCACGGCTCTATACTCTTCCCCTCCGCTTGACTGCTCTGGCCCAGGGCCCCTCCCAGCACAGCAGCGGTAGGTGAAAGGAGCACCGCCAGCTCGGCTAGGGCAGCTGAACCACCAGCACCATTATAAATAGCTGCTGCTGTCTCACTGCCACTCCCCCGGACGGTGATATCCCCTTCCATGACTGCATGCACGCCCGCAGTGTTGGCAAGAAGGCTGCTGCTAACTGTACCGGAGCTACCTTTAACGAGTACACTGCTCATGCTTGCATCAATGCCTCCAGAAAGCAGGTTGCCGAAGCTGCCAGCGCCGCTGCTGCCGAGGCTGGCACCGAAGCTGGCTCCCAGGCCTGGCGAGAGCAGCAGATCCGCAGCAACCTCTCTCAGAGCCTCGGCACGAGCTTCAGGGCCGAGGAAGCCAGAGAGAGAGAGAAGAGACTGGGCGCCTCCTGAAAGGAACGCGGTGATGGACGGCTGAGATCGCGAGAGCTCGACAATACGGACGCGGCGAGATGGGTCGATCCCAGCCTTTGACTTGGCGATTTGAACGGCGGTCCAGATGCCTCCGAGGGAATCCACTAAATTGGCTTTAAGGGCTGCTTGTCCGGTCCATACCCTGCCCTGTGCCACTGCTTCCATGTCGTCTTCCTGTGAGTGGAAAGGGTGGGGAGAAGAGAAGGAAGCAATGCAGTGAACTTGAGTGTTACTAGCAGACCTGCCTAGCATGTCCAAAGTCTGCCCTGTGTCACTGCCTCTGTATCCGCCTCCTGTGCACAAAAAACGCATGGTGCGGACTGGGGAGTGGATGGAAGGGGGTGTGTGACCGCGTCTCAACAGACAGCAGTTCAGCCCGCACCTCTTGTACAACCAGCACTGCAGTCCAGATACATGCAAGGGAGGAGTCCCCTAGACTCGACATGAGGCAAGGGACATGGGGGGGGGGGGGGGGGGAATCACGCAGCAGGCGGGCTGACTCATCAGTGGTTCGTTGTGCAAAGCAGCAAGCGCTCCTCGTCAGGGACAGGTTCTTGAAGCGCCTCAGCAGTGGACTTCCTTGCGCAAAGCAAGCGCTCCTTGCCAGAGACAAGATATATCTTCTCCATTGGGTGAGAAAGAGGGAAGGGGCAAGGGGGCGTACCTTCATGGAGCGAGACAGGGCAGCCTTGTCTCGGAAGCGCTGGTAGGCGATCTTGGCCCCACGGGCGAAGTACTCCTCCTCGTCAGGACTGCGTGTAGGGGCGAGGAGAGGAGGGGGGGGTGATGAGAAGATGAAGAGATTGAAGGGATAGGCTGCGTGAAGGAACGAGGGTTCACACAGAAGTAGTGCTTAGAACACAGCAAAGTGAAAAAAGCAAAGCAAAGCTAGGGCGGAGGGACTCACGTGAAGGGGCGCTGGTCGGCATTGAGCTCTGCGAATCGGCCGCGCGAGATGATCTCCTTGCTGAAGCCGATGCGCTCGTACAGCTCGCCCAGGCTGAACTTGCCTGCGGGAGAGAATGAGCGAGTGTGGGGGGGGTGACAGGGAATGAAAGAGAGAGAGGGTGCTTTCCAGGTGTGCGTTTCCTTAGCTATCACATATCCTAAACCATTAACGTAACCTCTTGCACAAGCGTTAAATTTTTTTGACAACGAAATCTTAATGTTTGGGCTTTTGAGAAACTGCAGGCAGAGAAAGTTTGACTTGGGACCTCAAAACAGCTGGGGATGTCGATGGAGTGTTTGAGGACCATTGTTCGACTAGCTGATGTGTGTTGACTCCACGCAAGCCCAAGCCCATACCTGTGACGACGCCAATGGAGCCGGTAAGCGTGAGCGGCTCGACCACGATGTGCGGAGCAGCAGGGAAGGGCAAATGAGCTCGCTAGCTCCTAACCCTGCAGTCCCTATGTTATGTTCCGACTTCCAAGCAAGCCCAAGTCCGTACCTGTGACGACGCCAATGGAGCCGGTAAGCGTGAGGGGCTCGGCCACGATGTGCGGGGCCGCCATGGCCATGTAGTAGCCACCGCTCGCCGCCACGTCCGACATGCACGCCACCACCGGCTTCACCTTGGCCAGCTCACGGATCTCGTTCCACATGCTGGGGGGGGGGGGGAGGGGGGGCGAGGGGTGGAGGAGCGGAAGGGGGGAAGGAACATGTCATATAAGTCAGAAGAACATCGTATGGCATGCACGCCACCATGCGCTTCACCTTGGCTAGCAGCCAATGATCGTTCCATGTCCCTCACCCCATTCGACCCATTCAGTTCAGTGTCATTTGACCCCATTGACCCCATCAACCCCATCCACTCAAAACTCGAAACAGGAACATCCCCCCCATCACGAGCTTGTTCAATTCGGAGGGGTGAGCTGCTTGTTCTCCATCACCATCTGCAGCTTCCGAGTGATGCCTATTAGACCCTATTAGACCCCATTAGATCCTATTTAACCCTATTAGACCCCATTAGATCCTATTTAACCCTATTAGACCCCATTAGATCCTATTTAACCCTATTAGACCCCATTAGATCCTATTTAACCCTATTAGACCCTATTATATTCCCCCCCTTGACCCCGTCAATTCACAGGCCCGAGACAAGCGCATCTCCCCAGGGCTATCAATCCTGAGCACCAGAGCCTGAAACCCACTTCTCTCCTTCACCATCCACAGCTTCTGATTATTGCTCACTCGACCCCATTAAACCCCATTCAAACCCCCTGTTGACCCCGTTGGCTCACAGGTCCGAGGCGAGCGCGTCCCCCCCAGGGCCGTCAATCCAGAGCACGAGCGCCTTGAACTGCTTGTTCTCCTTCACCATCCGCAGCTTCTGAATGATGCTCATCCAGCCCTCTTACACCCCATTAACCCCCGTTACCATTGACTCACAGGTCTGATGCAAGGGCGTCCCCTCCGGGGCTGTCAATCCGCAGCACGAGCGCCTTGAACTGCTTGTTCTCCTTCACCATCCGCAGCTTCTGAATGATGGTCTCGCTCTTCACGCCGCTCCCCATGCCCCCGCCCCGGTCCTTGCCCTGCGAGATCGCCCCCACTGCTCGCAGCACCGCAATGCGATCTCTCCCTCCCAGCCCCACAGTCGAAGGGTTGATCTTGGCATACTTCCTGTAAGAAAACCGGGGGAGTGGGATGGGACAGGAGGAGAAGAACGGTGGGCGGGTAAGGGGGGTTAAAACCAATTCAATTTGCGATAACCATCACATCAGGCGACATTACTTCCCTGAGTCCCCTTACCAATGTAATACCAACTTGTACCAATTCAATATCAGTCTGATACTAACTTGATACCACTTTGAATAGCGACACATTGGCATCTCTGCGGGTAGGTACTCACTTGGCCTCTACGGACTGCAGTGGCTTTTCCTTGTCCTGCCCCAGCCGCTCCTTGAGCATCTCCTCCACCTGCTCGCATGCACGCACACACACGGGGCGCACACACATGGGACATGGGGCGCACACACATGGGGCGCACACACATGGGGCGCACACACATGGGGCGCACACACATGGGGCGCACACACCAGGGGCGCACGCACCAGGGGTTGCACTTGAATGAACAGATAAACCGAAAAAAGCACATGCATGCCGCCGTGAGTCACACATGCAAATGCCAATACATGACCCGCATACCATGCCTCTCTCCATGCCATCCCGCGCACCTGGATGCCGTAGATGACGTCAGTGAGGAAGCCTCGGGTCTTGAGCTCCTCCACCTCCTGCACCCCGTCGTGAAGCAGCGCCTGCACCGCCTCCATGCTCACTCCTGGCACAGTCACCAGTGCAGGCGAAGGAACGGGCACAGGCACAGGCACAGGCACATATAAATAGGTGAGACCAAAAAAATTGGGCAACTGTAAGAAGCCTCGACTTCCACCCCTTGAGTTCCTCCACCTCCTGCACCCCATGGTGCAGCAGCGTGAGGAGTCTATTTTTGAGGCGCCTCAAAAGCAGCAGTTCCTGCACCGCCTCCACGCCCACTCCTGGGAATGGAAGAGCCATACGTGCAGGCACAGGAACAGGCAGAGGCAGAGGCAGAGGCAAAGGCAGGGGCGCGGGCACACATGCGTAGGTGAGACGAAGGTTTGGCCAACAGTAAGAAGCCTCCACCTCCACCTCTTGAGCTCCACCACCTCCTGCACCCCGTTATGCAGCAGCTCTTGCACTGCCTCCTCCACACCCACTCCTGGTACAGCCACAGGCACACACATGGGTGGTGGTTGGGTCCACCAGATAAAATCAGAACTGAAAGAATGAGAGGGCAGGAATGAGGACTTGCAAGCCGGCAAGCAAGCAAGCATCCAACCAGCTGGCCACCATACCCAGAGAACCACGATAGGCACTTCTGTTTTCAGACACAGCAGTAATTGTGCAGAAAAGCAGTGAGCATCTTGCGGTTTGGCTCACTCATACTGGACTATCCAACTAGACACCCAACCATGTCACCATGCGACCACGCCACCATGCAATCATGTAACCATAACCATGTAACCAGGAACAGCTCGCATACCTCTATTCTCCGCCACAGCAGTGGTCCACGTGCCGTAGTAATCGTCCAGAATAGCGGTGAGCATCTCGCGGTTGGGCTCGCTCATGTCGGACCGAGCCAGCTGGTCGCCCGCACTCTTGTACTTGCCAATGCGCTCGATCTGCGGCTGCACTCCTGCCTTCTGCAGCACGCCTGGTAGATGGGAGTAGAGATAAGGAGGGGGGGGAGGGGGGGTGGGAAGGGGAGGGCAGGTCAGCAAGGGGGGAAGAGCCGTCTACTTGCGAATGCGCTCTAACTGCAGCTCCATGCTCGCCTTCTACAACACGCCTGGCGCCCGAGGGCGGGCGCGGCGAGGGGGAGAAGAAGAGGAGACAGCAGGCAAAGAGGCAAGTGCACTCTTGTAGTTGCCAATGCGCCCCATCTGCAGCTGCATGCACGCCTTCTACAACACGCCTCGGGGGAGGAGAGAAGGGGGAGGGGGGAAGAGGGAGGCAGGGAGGGGAAGGGGAGACGGCGGGTTGGGATGTGTAAGAGCGCTCTTGTACTTGCCGATGCGCTCTGTCTGTGGCAGCACCCGAGCCTTCAGCAGCACGCCTGGGGGGAAAGAGAGGAGAAGGGGGGGAGAGAGGCGGGGGAGGGGAGTGGGGGGGAGAAGAAGGGGAGAGCAGGTCAGGACACGTAAGTGCCCTCTTGTACTTGCCCACGTGCTCAATCTGCGGCTGCACGCCAGCCTTCTGCAGCAGGCCTGGTGCCGTGTGGCGGCGGGGGCGGGGGGAGGGGAGGGGAAAGGGGTGAAGGGGGTGGGAGGAGGGTGCGTGGAGGTGGGGGAGAGGAGAGCGCGGATGGTGAGGGGTGAGAGTGGGTGGGGAGGTGTCAGGGGTCAGGGGTCAGGGGTTAGCAGGCAGGGGGCGGGGAAGAGAAGGGGGGAGATTCATTCACAACTGTTGACTCGTTCTACTAGTTTGAATTACAGACCAAACAATTCCTTCCTCGTCCACTGCCTCGTTACCACTCCCTCCCAACCCCCTCCCACCCCCCCTCGCACCCCCCTCACCCCCCTCAACCCCTCGAATCTGCCCCTGCACAGCCATTCCAACAACTCCCACTCCCACTCTCCAACTCCCTCCCTTTCCCTTCCCCTCCCCTCCCACTCCCCCCCCATTCGTCTCACCCCCGAGGAACTGCCCCTGCACGGCGAGTCCGCGCAGGGACAGGTACGCGCCAGGCGGGGCATAGATCTCCTCGCACGCCGATGCCAGGAAGTACTCCTGCTCGCCGCCCACCGTCATGTACGCGATACAAGGCTTGCCTGGTGGGGGAGGTGGCGGAGCCAAGGGGCAGAATAGAGGAGGGCTTGGGTGAGGGTGAGTGCGAGAGGGACGAGGACAAGAGGTGGCAAGGACAAGAGGGCGGGAATTTTTAGTTGCCAATAAATTTAGGTGATGGATGGGCTCTGTGTGGACTTTTCTCGTTAAACAAAAACAAGAGCAGAACCAAAAGCAAACCCAGGATTTACATGAGACGCACTGAACAGTGGGCAGTAAAGCAAAGCAACCAGTGCGGCAGCAGGCGCACCTGACTTGCGGAAGTGCGCCACGTGGCGAGCTATCTCCTGCAGCTTGCCCCAGCCGCACTGCAGGGGGTCCACGTGGAGCAGCAGCGCGGAGACACGTGGATCCACCGCTGCCTTGCGCAGATTGTCGCAGATTTGGGGGAGAGAGAGGGTTGAGGAGAAGGACGATCCCACCATCTCGGGAACCTGCGGAGCGGGAAACGGGGGGCGGGGGGGGGGGGAGATTGGCGGGAGGCGTGAGGAAGAGGGCGGGCGGGTGTGGGGTGGGGGGCCGAGGGGAGGGAAACGGGGGAGGGAAACGGGGGAGGATTGAGACATGAAGTGGGAAGGTGGGGCGAGAGAGAGTGTGGGAGCGAAGATAAGAGCCTTTACATTTCCCTTGAGGCGCATGTACAGAACGGAGTTCTTCTTCACGCGCCGCCACGGCCACGCCACCAGCATCTTCAGCTGCGCGCCGAGCTTCCTGAACCCCTCCAGCGGCACGAACTCAAGCTCAATCGGCGCCGTTACGTCACTGCCCGCACCGCTCCCACTGCCGTTGCCGCTCGCCACCCCGTTAGTAGCCGATCCGTTAGTGGCGGCTATGGTTTCGGATTCCGAAAACGCGTCCGTGTCGGAGGCTACTTCCGCGGCAGGAGGACTGCCAGATGCTCGGACCTCCTCCGATTCCGCAGATCCCGGGGAGGAGGACGAGGCCGACGCGCGCGTGAGACGAGCGGAAAGATGATACGAGGCAGCGCGGGAATTAAGCATAGTCGGATTAAAGCGGCCTTGCTGGAGATGAGAGTAGGATCGCGCGGACAGAGCGCGATACGCGGTCGACGAGGAGAGACTCGCGGGAACGCGGGTCAGGGTGGGACGAGAGACGCGAGAGACCAGGGAGGCGGGACGCGCGAAAGTGGCGGCGGAAGTAGCGGAGGCGGCGGGAGTTGTGGCGGCCATGGCGAAAGGGGAAGCGGTGGCGTAGCAACTCGAAGCAGGTGCGCAGACGAGCAGGGAAGCGACAGTAACGGAGGTCATGATAGACGCAGGTCGATTGGCGACACGAGGAGAGATTGCGAACGGCGAGATTGGGACAACGCAGGCGCGTATGAGGCGCGGAGTTAACTTGGCAGAAAGGAACGCCAGCACGGCTTGCTGTCAGACGCAGAAAATGACTGGGCGGGGGTGTGTCGCTCTCAGGGCTGGGTGCTCGCTGTGGAATCGGCGGCACTCTCGGGGATTCCGAGGAGAGCAAGCTTGCCTAAATACAATCGCAAGCGACGTGTTTGATTCGGCGACGAGTCCGAGGAATAGTGCGACCCGAGAAAGGCCTGACAGAAGCTAGCCAGTCGTGCTCGAAACTGCAAGCCAAACCAAGAAACGCGCTGGTGGTTATGGTGGCAAGATCTAGGAAACAGGGATGGTTGCATGCTGGTGGAGGAAGTGGTAACACAATTCCGCGAAATCTTGCCGAGTCCAAAATAGGGTGTCGTCAAACTCAAAACAGCCTAATTCTGCTGGTGACGAATCTTAGCGAACCGCATGTAACTGGTCATCACGTCATCAGCGAGCTGGGAGGGACAAGGTGCATCCCCCTAACCATTTCGCCTCGCCCTCACCCCTAGCCAGGAAAGCCTCAAGGCACGAGGGCGCGCGGCACAGCGAAGGTTTGTCGTGGCAAAACGCCACGTCTGGTCGATCAACTTGAGGACGCGTACGTATGCCACGTGGTACACTCTCCACCTATGAACATTCACGAACAAATGGCTGGCTGTTACGACAAAATCGACTTGCTAAAGTTATGACACATAATGAGGCTCAATCAATCACCACGCCTTAAAGCCCGTGTCCCGAATTGCGAGGCGCGACCTTCAAACGCACTGCGTTTGAAAGTCGCGTTTTCGTGGGTGTAGATGGGGGTAACGTGACTCGCGTCACTCGGGGCTGGCTTTCAAGTTCAGCGCGGAACGTATTTTGGGACACCAAGTGCCTCTCGTTTTTTAGCCGTCCAATATTTGTCGATTTCCATCTAACGGCGCGCAAGTAAAGTGCTTCCCCCAGTCAATCGAAATGTAATCTCAGCCGTCGCACTGTCTGCTTGCAAATCGGACTATTTACGACAAATGACGAATTCGCGACATGAAATACCCTCACGAGTTTCCTGTGTATTTCGTCCAGGCCGAGGCTCACAGTTCATACGCAGTGCGTATGAACAATTTGGGCCGCGGGTTTTAACGCTTAGCACATAAAGTCATCACTGTTGACGTTCTTTCTACAACCACTGTGTATTTCACCACTTGCTTGCCAGTGTGATCTCTGGCAGCTGAGGTCCTCCATGAAGGTGACATGCTTTGATTCCTTCCAACCTACTCAAATGAGCTTACTTCTATGTATGAGGGGTTATCGTTTGCACCCAATTCCAGTATATCAGTAAAGGACACACCACACACACATACCTAAGACTGCCCCATAACCATGCGTGTGCTCAACACACCTACATTACAATGCGCCATGGTAACACCACCAAGTAAGCCACCCAAACAAAACCCTGAAGTGGTTCATTCAGCCTCAATGTCAATGATACGAATGTTGTCATCCCGCGATGCTCTACCCCCCTTGCTGGCCTGCCCGTTGATATTAGGGTTCCACACAACCCCCCTGCAGCGCTGGCATGCAAGCACTTGTGCGCGGGGCCCCACGAAACGTTGACCGCACGAAGGGCAAACACCCTGGGGCATACAAGGGGACCAGAAAGGAGAAAATGAGATAAGGTAACATGGTAAGCAGTTGCAATGAACGTATGGATCAGTCGCAAGGGGAAAAAGGTGAGGAGGCCAGAACGTACCTCAACAATAGCATTGCCTGCCATGCTTCGGACAATCCATGGAAGCAAAGGGATGAGCCAGAGGGACCAGAAGAACAATTGAAAGAGCCATCCAGAGAGCAGCAGCCAGCAGAAGGCACCAAACTGCATGAAGAGAAGCCAGTCCAGAGAGAGAGAGAGAGAGAGAGAGAGAGAGAGAGATCATGGGCATCAGATCGAAGGAGCCTACTTGCAAGAACGTAAAAGGTAGATGCTGTGACGCATAACGAGGTCAGGAATATGACGCATGGTGCTGCCAGTGACTTAGATCAAACTTACAAAGACAGCCTGTCCTATCGGCGTCTCCTTGAATTCATTCAGTTGGCGTTCATACTGCCAGAAAAAACAGGCGGAATGGAGGAAGGATGAAATATGAGAACCAAACGAGGCGGATACATTTTCTTTCAGAACCACTAAACTCCAGAAGTGGAGCAGGCGACGTACTTTTTTTTTTCTGAGTAACATGCACACAGCAACATCCCAGCCATCACGTCTTCCCCCACCATCAGCACAATCACTCTCACATACAAATAATACAAAGCAAAAAACAATTCTTTTGTAACTTTCCATTCCGTTACTTTACCTTGGGCCACTTCTGTTTCAAGTCCTGCGACACTGCGCGAAACCTCTGTCGCACGCGAAGCTTCTCGTCCACCTCCCGGAGCTGATTCACGGCGCCTCCCAGCAGCTCGTTCGCCTTCTCCTTAACGCCGTATCGCCTGTCGATGTTCGTCGCATACCTCTCCGCCTCGAAAGACAACTCTTCTAGGCGGCTAGCAGCGCTTTTAGCCGCTCCCTTGAGTTTCTTCTCCAGATCGTTCTCACGAGCAAAGCTCTCAACCTTAGATTTCGCCGATCCGAAAGCTTTGGATGCTGAATTCGACGCTTCCTTTGCCTTCTTCTGAGCAGCGTCAGACAGGTCCCGGAAGAATTTCTCCGGCTCAGCAGCTGACTGGACAAGCAGCGGCTCCCGGCCTCTGCTGCTTGCACCAATAACGCGGACGCTACCGGAAGGGATTTTAACGCCGAAGCAGGAGCTGGAAAGGGACGACACGCTGCATTGGGAGGAGCTGCGGGTCTCGAAAGATCTGCCTTTGGGTTGCGAGGAAAGAGCTGATGTGATGCAGGGGACTCTACAGCTAGTTACAGATGTCATGGTTACCACCTTGAAGCTTATGAAACTTCGGGAAAAGGACGCTTCTTTCGTAGATTACAAGTGCGAGCGACAGCTACAGATGAACCAGACGAATAAGGCCTTCGACTATAGAACCAATATGCGCCACTAGAGAAGCTTGACGCAGCTACTACTAACTAGTCTCTGCCGAGGGTTTGTTTGTGGAGAACGTCGAGACAGCTGATGGTGACAATACGGTGACTCCTGAATTTACACACACGAATTGTTGAGGGAGATATCTATACGTACTCCACGAGAGAAAATCCATGGCACTTGCGGTTGTATTCCAGAGCACACGGAAAGGAGGGAGATCTGCTTGCTTGGTTCCTCCAAGCAGGGTGCATAGGGCTGGGTCTGGTCTGGGTCTGGCTAGGACTCTGGGCAGAATGCTTTTGCGACACGGGCACGGGCTGTGGAGTTGAAGGGACCACCAGTTTGGAGGACGCCAAGCAAAGCTTGACACGTGGTGCGGGCAGAAAGCTCGAAGGAAGGTGATGGAATGTGTTGCGTGTGATCGCTGTTCAGAAATTAGGGCAGGGTGCGACGGATTTCGGGGGCAAGGGCAGGGATGGAGAAGTCCGCCAAGGCATGAGCGGACGGAACCAATTGTGTTGCTTGTAGGCAGCAAAAACGTTGGCACGGAAATGGGAGATCGTTTCGCTTTCTATTGGGTCGCAGGGTCCAGGCGATCTTTTGAAGTGATTCGTCCAAGACTCTCGGAGGGCTAGCGAGTGAGGTGCGAGAAGGTCTGCGGTCGTGCAGTAAGTCGGTCAGTCCACTGCGACACGTCATTGTGTTTCACAAGTTCCCTAACCCACAAAGCAAATTTTCACAAGCCCCGGACGACGTATTAAAAGACAACGAAAACATGGTGAACAGTTGCCTTAAACTAATGAGTAAGGAAAACTACGCGACGGGTTAATCCCTGTCGCTGCGCTACTGCGCTCAGGATTTTTGGAGGGTAAAAGGCCAGCCAGGAGTTGACGCTGCCTACTTATCGCAGAACTCTCCTGTGCAGGCCTCCCAACCCCGAACAAAAAAAAGAGAAACAGGATCTTTACACCTGACATAGATACACTAAAATGACGAGGTTGTACCCCTACAATAAACTACATAGTAAACCTCACTAACAAGGCCCTTATGAAATTCTAAAATTCATGTTCCTCTGTGGCCCTCCGTGGATCCTAGCTACATCTCACCCTCCACGACTCACCTTCTCACCTCCCAGCGACCTTACCCCCTAGCAAAGCCTGCTGCACAGCATCCAGCACACGCTTTGACCGCCGGCAAGAACCCGAAAGATCCTCCACAGCTGGCAGCGTGTGATTGGTGGCGTCGCGTGGCGTTGACGCATTGGCAGCTGCTGCAACTGCCTGCAGGAGGGCCATCTTCTCGGCGTGCGAGGCAGCCGCAGCAGGGATGGCATCGAGAATGGGTTGCAGCCATTGCAAGACATTTCCCCCGCAGCACACTTGCAGCGCCACTAGAAGTTCCACGACCTGAGGACAAGAATAACAAGGAGCCAGAAGACGTGAGAAGGAGACAACATGAATGTGAAGAGGAGAAAAAGCGTGACCGGAAGCAGTTTCACAATGGCTTACGACACTGGTAGCAGGCACACATGCACCCCATTCACCATTTCACGAGGTAGAAGAGCAGAGGAGCTGCTGGCGGCCACGGGAATAAAGAAACCGATCTCCACCCACCCACCTCATCATTGCGAGACTCGGGCAGCCCGCCAGTGGCAGCGGCGAGCAGCAGGCGGCAGAGCGTGGGGCCGCGGGGCAGCACGGCCGCCTCTATGGTGGCGCGGAAGGGACGGCCACGCTCCGACAGGGGGAAGTCGAACACGTCCTTGAGGAAGCTGAGCACCGACTTGCACGCCTCCCTGGGGTGATGGGAGATGGGGGGGAGACAGGAGTTGGTGATTGTGTGCGAGACGAGTCACGAGCAGACCGCCCCTCTCTGACCGGGGGAAGTAGAGCACGTCCTTGAGGAAACTCAGCACTGACTTGCACGCCTCCCTGGGGGGGATGGGAGAGGAGGAGGGCGCGTAACAACGCAGTGGATGGGGGGTCATAGGAGCGAAGTTGTGGGTTTGCCCAAGGAAGGGATGGCCGCGCTCCGACAGGGGGAAGCCGAGCACGTCCTTGAGGAAACTCAGCACCGACTGGCACGCCTCCCTGGGGGGGATGGGAGGGAGGGGGAGGGGTGGTGCAATTGGTGGTGATGTAACTGGCTTATGTAAGTAGTGTTGAAGAGTGAAGGGGGAGAGCGGAGGATAGACAGGGCGGGGGAGGGGAGAGCAGGGTCCAGTATCAGGGGTTACTGGGATTCGGAAAGGGGGGCAGGGGATGTTGTTGAAAGATAGCAGCCTTGGTATGTGATGGTTGGTAGCACCATCAGCTACATGCAAGATCCAGGTAATAGTAATCTTGTTTTGAGACGTCTCAGAACAATATCACTTACACACCACAGGAAATATCCGGGCAATGCAGTGGATGAATGTGATTGGCACGGGCACTGCAGCACTGCACGGAAGAGCACGGCTCGAGTGAAACACGAGCCCCACCTGTGCTGCACCAGCAGGCCCGCCAGCGCGCAGTCGAGCACCTGCCATGACAAGCACCCGCGTCTGAAACACGGAATGCACCAGAAACCACGAACCGCACCTGAGTCACGCGCCCCACCTGTGTTGCACCAGCAGGCCCGCCAGCGCGCTGTCGAGCACGGCGAGGAAGGCTGGCGTGGGCACAAAGAGATGCCCACAGTACCGCATGCAGCGCGACGCCAGGAGGAAGCAGTCGTCCGCCACGTCCGGCTTCAGTGTGAAATCCTGAGGGGATGAATGGTAGTATGCATGTGACACGGTGGGGGGAAGGGAAAGGGTCTATTTCTGAGGCGCCTGCATGGCATGCAGCACGCCGCCAGGAGGGAGCAGTCACCAGCCACGCCTGGCTTCAATGTGAAGTCCTAATGGGCAGACAAGGGGGAGAAAGGAGGCAGGCATGTGAGCGCGAATGGGGAGCGGGGAGGGCGGGGAGGAGGAGAGGGGAGGGGTGGAAGATGAGGGGGAAAACGGAGGATGGAGTTGGGAGAGGAGGGGAAGCGACAGAGTGGAGAGGCACGAAGAAGCTGGGCAAAAGAACTCACATCCAAGACTTGCCTTTGCAAACTATAGGCGCCCTGTGCGACAAAGGCTTGAATGGGTAAGACAATGTGACCCTGGGCTGACCTTTGGAAGCCATTTGCCATGTGCGACTCACATCGAGGGATTGCAGAGAGGCGGTTGTGCGGGCGAAGAGGACGGCAATGAGCTGCTGGAGGTAGGCCGCACAGTTGGCGTCCGAACCAAACACCTGATGGATGAGTGGGTGGCGGAGGAGGCGGCGGAATAGCAGGAGGAGGTGGAGGCGGATGAAATGGAGGAGGAGGCGGAGGAAAAGTAGGAGGAGGCGGAGGAAAAGGAGGAGGAAGCAAGGGGGGGACGAAAGAGATCTGGACGAGGGAAATGGAAGGAAAAGAGGCATGGAGAGTATAAAGAAGGCTGCAGACATTCAGGTCACGGAGAGACTGTGTCGAGTATGTTACCTTGATGATTTCACTGGCCACATATAGCAGGCACGGCTGCTGATGCTGCTCGTATTGCACCTGCAGCTCCTGCAGCAGAGGCGCCAACACTGGCGCCATGGCTGTTTGCCCGCCCCGGATCTGCACACACACGCACACACATGCATGCACACACATGCACGCACACACATGCACACACACACATGCATGCACACACATGCACGCACACACATGCACCACACACACATGCACACACACACATGCATGCACACACATGCACGCACACACATGCACGCACACACATGCATGCACACACATGCAGGCACACACATGCAGGCACACACATGCATGCACACACACATGCATGCACACACATGCACGCACACACATGCATGCACACACATGCAGGCACACACATGCACACACATATGCACACATGCAAGCATACACGCACACATGCCTGAAGGGTTGCGAGGATGCCTTGAAGAAGTGTAGAAGGGGATTTTGACGAAGACAGGGGAGGGAGGGGGGAGGGGAAGGAGGGGAGGGGGGGGGAGGGGAATGCAAAATGAAGCTACACACACATACCGCACGCCTTTCACACACGCCCCACATGAACACATCACCCTCAACACACACACCCACCGCATATTTGCATGCTCGACATAGCCTCTCCATAACTCGCATGTCTGTGGGCTTCCTGCACGCACCACGGGGGAGAAAACGAGAGGCGTTTCAAACACAAACATGCCCGTGCGGGCCACGCTTGAGTCAACTTTATAGCGGCTGTCCCTGAATCGCATGTGCTTAGGCTTCCTGCTCGTCCCACAGGTGTCAAGAGGTATACGCTGATCTAAAACTTTAGATTCGACTGGGACAATCCAACGGAACTCCTAGCTCGAAGTCTGAACGAGTGAGTGAGTAGTGAACGCAGGGATTGGGAAAAGATGACGAATAGTCCGTCAAACTGAGAGTACGCGCGTTTTGGCACAGGGCCTTCGTCAGCGCTCTCAGATTTACAAGACGACTACCTTCCTACTTCTACCTCCTTCTGCCTTGCACTACACTCAATCGAAATTTAGACAAAGAAAGCGGCTCGCTGTCCAAAGTGCGGCTCGCTAAAACAAAGAGCGGTTCGCCAGTTATAGATCTACCTGGAATAGTCCACCAACTATAGATCTAGCTGGAAGACTCGATGTTCCTGCTCATGCAGGACTGGTTGAGACAATTCAATTGCCATCAACCTCATGTAGGCAGATCCGCGTTTTTTAAACGCGCTCTAACCAATCTATTTCGTAACCTACTTGGTAACTTCCAACCTATAACAAAACGAGGGAGCGTTAAGCTAGGATGTGTTTTGTTTTTGAGAATTACAAAAAAACAAAACACATAAGAGCGCACACACTATGACGACAAGGGCCAGCCAGAAGAAACCGATTGGCAGATAGATGCGATGCGAGTACAGGAAGACCAGGAGGCTGAAGATTTGTTTAGACACGCCTCAAAAAGGAACCACTACATCACGTGGCACGGGGGATGGGCGTGTGTATGAGAGAGAAGAAAGGATGTCTTACTGAGCGAACACAGCGCGGAACAGAGGCCATAGTTGTTGGAAGGCGTCCGCTAAGGGTTGGTTCTGACTCACGTATCTGGGGAGGGGAGGGGTGGAGAGGGGATGGGGGTGGGGAGAAAGATTGCATTCGATGAGTGAGAGGAACTCTTGAAAAAGTCACCTCCGATGAGTCAGAGGGACTGAGGTTGACTACAGGGAATGGTTTTGGAATAGCAGCATGAAGCACACGGGAAAGAGAAAGAGGAGCAATCATAAAAGGAGAGGGAAAGAGCGCAGTGAAAAGGCAACAAGCAGCACCAGCCGCTGGCCTCACCTGAAGATATTGGCGATTCTGTCTATAGGCACCACGTATTGGGCTGCAGGCATGGCTGCTGGCGCTTCTGGCTTACAACGAGCAAAGAGCCCAGTGTGCTTTGGAGTCGCAGCTGACATATAATAATAACCACCAGTCTCACCTGAAGATGTTGGCGATTCTGTCTATAGGCACCACGTATTGGGCTGCAGGCATGGCTGCAGGCCCGCCTGGTGCCTGCGCTGCTGCTGTCACTACTTGCTGCAACAAGCACGAGATAATGGGAGCGAGAAAATGGGAGCGAGAAAATGGGAGCGAGAAAACGGGAGCAGGGAAACGGGAGTGGCAACGTGGGAGCGGGGCGTGAAGTTTAGAGGCGGTTAGATGGTGTTCAGTCAGAAGTGGTGGGGGAGGCCAACACACACGGGAGGCACAGGGAGGGTACTGAGAGTTCATGCCTTAACGCATGGCTTTACGGGACAAATCTAGAGCCAAGGACGATCCTGGAAAAGATTGAAAGGCAACCCGTTTGCAAGTTCTCATTGCAAATCCGTGTTGAAGAGGGGAGAGAAGGCAATAAGAGCAGTTCAGTTCAGAGGCAGGCGAAACAACGACAAGATGCAACAGGGGAGTCAGCGCGTCGCCTGGAGAGTTGCGGTGCGGTGAGTGGTTGTAAGAGCGCGTAGACTGGTTAAACGCGGATATTACATCAACACAAAGGGCGCACAGGCCATTGTGGGGGAGAAGGGCACAAGAAAGTGAGCGGGAGAGGGGCACACCTGGAGCGTTGCAGTGAGTGGCTGCAAGAGGGCGGAGACTGCTTTGGGACACTGATCCGGTGGCAGCACGCTCACCACCACACTGTGGGGCGTGTGTGCATAGTTGGAGGGGGAAGGAGAAAGCAAGGGAAGGGGGAGGGGAAGGGGGGGGGGGGAGGAAGGGGAGAGGGGAGTAGGGGATATGATGGTGTGGAGAGGGACTGGGAGTAAAGGAGGGATACAATAACGTGATGGGAGAGGTGAAGGGGATATGAAGGGAGTGGGGGAATAGATAGCATGAGGACGTTGGGACGGTGCTGGTGTTGCAGCCAAGAGAAGAGGGTGAAGGTGAAGGAAACTGGAAGGAGGGGGTAGAAGGAAAAGTGAGGAGTTGAAGTGAGGGGGAGAGCCTGTGTGTGTGTGTGTGTGTGTGTGTGTGTGTGTGTGAGAGAGAGAGAGAGAGAGAGAGAGAGAGAGAGAGCATGCGTGCCTGAGTGCTTCTACGATCTGCAGCTCGTCTTCTGGCTGCAGCGCCAGAGCAGCATCGGACACCATGACTCGGTTGTACAGCTGCAGCAGCGGGTCGATGGACGGCAGCAGGTGCTGCCGCGACGCTGCAAACAGGCGAGAAACGGGTAGTCAAGTGACAGGAAAAGGGAAGGGGGAAATGTGGGGTTGCAGGTGGCAAATAGGAAGTGCGAGAGGGGAGAGAGTGAGGATATTTGAAAATGGGAAAGGTTAGGTGGAACAACGGAAGACCTTGAGTTCGCTTTGTTGTTTGCACGCAGGTCCATTGACTCTCATTAGAGCCCTTTGATGTAACTCCAGTCAAACCAGTCAATGGGGTCAATGGGGCCAATGGGGTCGAACCAGTCAACGGGGCCAAACCAGTCAATAGGATCAACGGGGTCAAACAAGTCAATGGGGGTCAAACCAGTCAAAAGGATCAACGGGGTCAAACAAGTCAATGGGGTCAAACCAGTCAGAAGGATCAATGGGTCAAACAAGTCAATGGGGTCAAACCAGTCAAAAGGATCAACGGGGTCAAACAAGTCAGCGGGGTCAAACCAGAGCAAACCCATGCCACGGAATCAGCTCACCATGGCATATGTGCTTGAGAGTAGACATGAGCAAGAATAATCGCATCGCAACCACATAGTGCGATTTTAATAGCGATCTTACGATTGTGTTTTTTTTTTTTTTTTTTGGTTAATCGCGCTATGCGATTAATGTTTTATCGCGCGATTTGATTTAATAGCATTAAAAAAAAACTCGATTAAAGTGCGATGTGCGATTACAATAAATAGCACGCTATGACGCGCGACACAGCAGCGCGAAATCTCGCCAGGAATATTGTGGGGGCAAAACACAAACCCCCAAAACGCGCCAAACTTATTCTCTGTTCAGGGTGGCAAACTGTTTTCAAGGGTTCTCCCACACCCCAAAGCCTCCCATCACCATACTCCTAGTTAGCACTCCCTATACATCAATAAACCACTTACTTCTTTGGCGCGCACTAGGATTTAGGGGGTTGACCACGTTACAACCTCCAATATTAGGTCACGGCATCGTGTCTGGACGCCTTGGTTATAACAACCGTTATTTATGCACTGTTAAACAACCGTCATTCTTGCTGATTCTGAGGGCGTGGGGTTTGTTGAGTGCTCTTGTTACATCTTTTTACTCGTTTTTTTTAAGGGTCATAACGAGCTATGCGATTAATAAGAACGCGCGCTATTTAAAACACATCGCATTGAATTTGCTATGTGCGATTAAAGTTATCCAAAATTTTAATCGCGCTATGCGATTGATAAATCGCATCGCAATCGCATAAATCGCCCCTAGGCGCTAAGCGATCTTAATCGCGATCGCACTTTGCTCATGTCTACTTGAGAGCCAGGGCAGCACCGAAAACGGAGTTTTGGGGCGCCTCAAAACTAGACTCATGTCATGTGGAGTCGGCTCACCGTCACATATGTGCTTTGAGTTTGCAGGGTATTTTTGAGATAAACAAAAAAAACACATATCCTGTGGAATTAGCTCACCGTCACATATGTGCTTGAGTGCGAGGGCGGCAGCAGGGGCAGCATCCTCGCCTGCCCCCAGGGCGTTAGTGAGGAGAGTGAGCAGCGGCGGCAGCATGGAGGGCGCGTTGGGCGCTGCTGCTATCCAGTCACAGTACGCTGCTATGGTGAGAGAAGCTGGTGGTGATGCAGGGGGGGGGAGGAGGGAAGGGCCGGAGATTGGAGGGGAGAGTAGTGAGAGAGGGTTTTGAGGCGCCTCAAAAATAGACTCCTCACGCATGGGTTGTGGTAGAAGGCGAGAAGGTGGAACCTATCCAGTCACAAAACGCTGCTATGGTGAGAGTCCATGGTGGTGGCTTTTGGGGGGGGGAAGAGAGGGGGGAGGGGGTGGGTGAAAGGGGAGAGGAAAAGGACGTGAATGCCGTGGATGGGCAAGGAAAGCGGATTGGTCGGGCCATGTGATAAGGTGGGATGTCATGGCATGGCATGGCATGGCACGGGACTGACCATGTGATATGTGAATGGGACATATGTTAAGTGCATGGGGCATGTGGTGATGGCATATGATATGTGCATGGTGGTTCCCATATGGCATGTGGGTTTGCGAGCTTACCCGTGTACAATAGGTGAGGCTGAGGGGGTAGCATAGGCAGCAATGCCATGAGCTGCAAAGCACAGTGGGGGGCGAGGGGCCAGGGGATTGGGGGGCCGAGACGGGAGATGCAACAAATTGAGACGGATGGATAGAGATGAAGGGAAGGTGCTTACTTACCAGATTGTGAGAATCTTCAGAATGCTTCTAAGGAGTAGTCTTTCAGGCGAGGCTAACCTAATGCGTGATGTGTTACACAATATGACAATAGACATCCTCTAGAACCAGCCTGCGGCACAGTTTGGCATGTGAGAATTCTGAAACAACAACCAACCCTACTGTGCTGGACATCCTCAAGAACCGCCAACCTGTGGCAGAATGGTTTGCTCGCGCAGGAGGTGCGAGCCCGCAATGGCCCTGATGCAGTACAGAGACGCCTCCAAAGCCCGCCAGTCATACTCCTGCCCCCGCGCTGCTCCCTCCGCAATCTGATGCCCATGCCAATGCCAATGCCGATGCCATGCGAAAGCACATGGAACGGAGGGGACATCCCGGACGCTCGCAGTCAGGAGAGGGCTGGACGCTACAAGGTGCATGACTTCACAGCGCTTGAGTAGAAACATTACACAACAGACAACACCAGAGGCATAACAGAAAATGCATGGAACAACAGTGAGACGACCTGGGCCCGTGGGGGTCTAAATCTTGAGGCGCCTCGACAATAGGCACCTGGAAGAGTGGTTGTGCGAGCAGCTGCAGTAGTCTTTCCCCACCAAGCACGTACAGCACATCCGTCAACACATCAGCCACCGCTGCATGGGGGGGTGGGAGGGGAGGGGAGGGGAGGGGAGGGGAGGGGGAGGGGGAGGGGAGTGGAGTGGAGGGGAGGGAGGGGGACATATCGTGTTAAGTGTCTCAAGCTTCACCTCACGGCTTGATATGCTTGTGTGTTATGGTTATGCTTACTGCAGCTGCAGCAGTCTTTCCCCGCCCAGCACATACAGCACATCTGTCAACACATCAGCCACTGCTGCAGGGGGGATGGGAGGGAAGGAGGAGAAACCGGTCAGACGGGGAAATCAAGAACCCCAGCAGTAGTGGGACACTCAAGAACGGAGCTTGGAGTGAAAGGGAAGCATGTCAGTAGTTAAATGGAGGCGATTTAACAGAGGAGGGGTTAAGACTAGTGTGTGTGAATGCACGTCACCAGGTGCGGTGCAGTGCACTGACCGTAGCGTGTCTGCTTGAAGTCAGCTTTTTCGTCGCTGCGCCAGCTCTCGTGTCCGGGTGGGTAGCGCACTCTGAAGCTCACCTGGTGCATGGGATGGGAAGGGTGGATGGACGGATGGACGGAACGAAATGCAGCTGGCTGATCGGCAGAAGGTGGAATGCACACAGATGCTGCTGCTCGAGCTGGTGAGAAAGCGGGCTGAAACACACCCATATAGGTGGATGCATGACGAAACTATAACAGTTGTAAGTGCAGCGCACAGGGTGCGGGGGGGTGGGTGGGGTGGAGGGGGAGAGCAGAAGGAGAGGCTAGGATTGGGAGGGCACAGCAGCACGGCAGCATGGCAGCACAGCAGCACATAATACACAGCACGCACCAGCGAGACGAGCAGTTCGAAGATGGGCTTGAAGAGGGCGAGGCGTCTCTCCCTCTCTGCATGCGCTGCTGCATCTGACGCCACGTTCTCCTCGTGCCGCGGCCTGCCACATGCGCATGTGGATCAGGAGGGTAGACCGAGACAAAGAAACAGGACAAGAGGATCGCAGGCATTGGCATTGGTAACTGTTCCTCTATAGCATGTGGGTGCAAGGTGGTGCATGCTCAGGGTGCAGGGTAAGAGAGGGCAGGGCGTGATTGCTGTGAGGGTGACAACTGTGATGTGAATGCTCAGGAGAGAGCGACACACAAGGAAGACGGCAGGGAGGGCAGGGGGGGTGGAGAGTGGGCTGGGGCTACGCTGAAGGAGTGGCATGGAATGGTTAAGCGCGGCCTATTGCAGTCGTACCGTGTGGTGAGGTGAGAGCCGAGCGCATGCCAGAAGTTGAAGGTGGTGGATGCGATGTCGAAGTCGGGGTGTGATGTCACCTGCACTAGCGCCTCTGCTATCATCATAGACTCAGGCGACCCTGGTGTTGGGCCCACACAGCCCAGCACACACACAGACATACGCCAGAAGACAGACACACGTGGCGGCAACGGGGGGTGGGGGGTGTTGAGGGTTGTGCAGGGCATGCGATGTCAAAACCGGGTGGCGATGTCACCTTGACCACTTATGCCTAGCTCCAGCCGAATGCTCCACGCCACAAACCCGGAACCCATGGCCCATCCCCGCCTCCTGTGCGGCCAGGACACTCACCGCTGGCAATGAGGTCCACATACGCCTCGTTTAGTGGCGCCTGAAAACAAGGCACTCCCCTCTGGCAGAACACTCACCGCTGGCAATGAGGTCCACATACGCCTCGCCTATCTCAGCAAACAGACGTGCCATGGCCTTCATCGTGTCCTCGTCCTGAAAGATGGCACGTGGAGGGGGGGAACGGATGCTGTGTGTGTGTGCGTGTGTGTGTGTGCGTGTGTGTGTGTGTGTGCGTGTGTGTGCGTGTGTGTGTGTGTGTGTGTGCGTGTGTGCATGCACGTGTGTGCGGGTCTGTGTGTGCAAGCGTATGTGAGTGGGTTGAGCAAAAGAAACTGTTCAAGGGGGGAAGAGTGAGTGAGGGTGGGTGAGTGAGAGGGAGAGAAAGAGGAGAACGAACCTGTGCTGGTAACTAGTTGGGTCCACCCCACACCCACTTCGTCAATCGCTGTCAACGAGCACAACAGCCAGGCCCACGCCCTCCCCACTCACCTCCTCTGGCTCGGCGTCTGTCTGCCCCTGCTGCTGTGACGGCACCACTTCGAGCGCACCAGAAAAGCGCACTATCCCCACCCCACCCCACCCCCACACCTTCTCCCTTTTTTCAAAGCCATGCGCTTGCCCTCTCACCCACCTCATCTGGCTCGGCGTCTGTCTGCCCCTGCTGCTGCGCCTGCACCACCTTGAGCGCAGCTGAGAAGCGCGGCAGCAGCGCCATGATGCGCGGCACTAGCAGCTGCACCAGCGGCATGTTCGCCGCCAGCGCTGCCGGCCCGCCAGACACCGAGAACCGAATCAGCTCACACACGGCTGGGGGAAGAAAGAGGAAGGAGGGGGGAACCGCGGGAGGTGGTAGAGGGAGGAGGGTGGGGGAGAGTTGCAGTTCAGGGAGACAAAGGCCAGAAAGAGGAGTCGATTCTGGAGGCGAGTCAAAACAGTCAGAGCATGTTGACTGCCGGAAACTGTCCGCCTAGCCTTTCACAAACACGCCCATCCTGTATGTCCCCTCTCCTCCCCCCCACCCCCTCCCTCCCCTCCCCTCCCCTCCCCTCCCCTCCCCTCCTCTCCCCTCCCCTCCCTCCTCTCCCCTCCCCTCCCCTCCCCTCCCCTCCCCTCCCCTCCCCCTCCCCTCCCCCTCCCCCCATATAATGTATCCAGGCACTGAAATGCGGACACGCGGATCAAGCAAGAACAGCTTGAGCCGTCTCAAATCAGGACCTTGGCCAAACACACTCAAGTGCCGGGGTGCATGTCAAGAACAGTCCTGTCTTGTGTCTCGCCTTACCTTCAACTGATGGCTCAAACATGTCCGCGGATTGGAGGCCCTCCAGGGCGACAGGCACGAGCCGATGGGCCATCAGAGTGGCAGCAGACAGGCTGGGGTAGGGCGAGGAGAGGGGTTGGGTGGGGTGGAGGGGACAGGGTAGTGAAAACACAACAAATAACAATACTCAAGGAGGGAGGGAGCGTGAGGGTCAGGAGGGGGTCAGTCACGACAGAAAAGGGCAGGGCAGGGGGGGGGGGGGAGGAGGAGGCACACTCACCCGTTGCTGAAGCGGAGCCAAGCTGTGAACGCATGTAGTGCCTGGCGAGAGATGTGACACAGGGGTGGCGAAGAAGAATGGTGAAGATGCATTTAGGAACATGGTCAATGGGGAGATGGAAGCAAGGGGGTAAGGGTTTCTGAGTTGACATTGGGGAAGAAAGAGTGACAGTGAAACCGTGGGCAGTTCCCTGATTGGGGAAGTAGGAGGTGTGTGGGTTGATAGAAATGGCAGTGGGAGAACTGGCCACAATAAGAAAGGCAGGAAGTCCAATGCAGTCGAACAAGGGAGACAGGGTTTTGGATGCACAGGTTTTGCGCCCATGATCGAATGTATGTATACGTGCATGCCGTCACACATTGAACTTGTGTGCAAATCAGTGTGTTAGTGTGCGCAGGTGAGGTGGGGTTGGGGCTGAGGCTTGGGGGGGGGTTGGGGGGAGTAGAAGAGGGACACAGCGCTCACCGCTTCGGTGGTGGCGGGATCAGCGGGGTGGGCGGCATGGCAGGCGGCGAGGAGCGCGAGCACATCTGGCGCACACGCCACCAGCTCCGCTGAGAACTGCCGCCGCCTCTCCGGCCGCACCGCCAGCTTGTGCGCTCCCACCTCCTGATGCACAGTTGAGTCAATCAGGATGAGGGATTACAGGGAGGAGAGTGGGAAAGAATCAAAGAATCAGATGCGGCGATTAAAAGATGGAATATGATGCCATCTTTCCGGCCGCACCGCCAGCTTGTGCGCTCCCACCTCTTGATGCACAAGGGAGCAAGGGGAGCAGGATGAGGGAACAAGGGGAGCGCTGGGAGAAGGTGGAGATTGCAGGAAGGACAATGGTGCTGCTTCCTCTCCTGCCCCACTGACAGCTTTGTGAGCGCCCGCCTCCCTCCCAATCCCCCCCCTCTCCCCTCTCTGACCTCTCCCCTCTCTGACCTGCATGACCACGGTGGGCAGCTCTAGCAGAGCAGGGTAAGATTCAGGCTGTGCTGCCAGCTGCTGATTCCCGATTTATTCCCAACTTCTCTACCCCACCGCACTCTCACACCAAACTACCCTTAACCCCCCCCCCCCCTTTCCCCACTCCCCTCCCTGACCTGCACGACCACGGTGAGCAGCTCCAGCAGAGCAGGGGCAGATTCGGGCTGTGCTGCCAGCTGCTGCCGCAGCCAGTACACCACGCCGCCCTCCCCCCACTCGCCTGCTGCCGTGTGCGCTGCTAATGCTGCTATCGCCAGACACAGCTGTGCAAGGGGTTTGGAGGGGTTTGGGGATTGTAGAGGGGAGGAAGAATAGAGGCGGAATGGGTTGTATTTGAGAGGCGCATCTTGGGCGTAGATAGGGAGCAGTGCGGAGTGCATGGTCCATGGCGCATAATGCATAGAGACAAAGTAGATTTTTCAGTAGTGTATGAAAAGCGTGTTTCCGTGCTGAGCCTCTCTGCGTGCAAGCGTGTGCATGCAAGCGTGCGCATGTATGTGTATGCGAGCATGTGTGTGTGTATGCGAGCATGTGTGTGTGTATGCGAGCATGTGTGTGTGTTCATGCGAGCATGTGTGTGTGTGTATGCGAGCATGTGTGTGTGTGTATGCGAGCATGTGTGTGTGTGTATGCATGATGTGTGTGTGTGTATGAGAGCATGTGTGTGTGTGTATGCGAGCATGTGTGTGTGTGTATGCATGCATGTGTGTGTGTGTATGCGAGCATGTGGGAGTGTGTATGCGAGCATGTGTGTGTGTGTATGCATGCATGTGTGTGTGTGTATGCGAGCATGTGTGTGTGTATATGCGAGCATTTGTGTGTGTGTATGCATGCATGTCTGTGTGTATGCGAGCATGTGTGTGTGTGTATGCATGCATGCGTGTGTGTGTGTGTGTGTGTGTGTGTGGCAGTGCCATGGCAGCTGTACCTGGGTGCGCACTGCAGCTGGCCCATTGCGGAACTTGGCTAGCAACTCCTGGCGTGAGGGAAGAAGACAAGGGCGGCAACGTGAGAGACAGCAAGTGGAGCTAGGAGGTCGGAAGGGGGAGGACGGCAGAGCGTTGGAATGGAATGATGTGTGTGCGAGAGGAGTGAAGAAAGGGGCTTGACACATGGTCGACTGGGCCAAACGCACTTTGTTAGGGGGACAGGATGGGAAGGTCAGGTATGGGCAAAGCAGAGATAGGCGTGGCGAGAAGAGAAAAGAAAGGGCATTGGCTTGAACATTCAAGAAGGGGAGAGCATACCAGGAGGGAGGCACGCAGGGATGCTGTTGAGCCTGGAGGCAGCTCCTCAAAGTCCCGTTGAACCTGACACCAAGGGCAATTCAGGGAGGGGTTGGGAGGGGTTGGGAGGGGCGAGAGGGTGTGCAAGAGCAGAGAACAGGTGCACAGAGAACAGAGGTTGTTAAAATGGCCAATGGAAGCATGGCTTCCTTGCAGCGTCACTCGGTCACATTTAATCACAGCCCAGTTACCACCCTTCCACTCCATGCCACCATGCCACCATGCCACCATGCCACCATGCCACCTTGCCATCATACCCACTCCCACCACGCCAACCCCAGCACTAGCCAGGGCAGCAGCGCCTCACCTTGGTTCTGAGCGTCTGTGCGCAGAAGTACCTGACCTCCATGCTGCTGCTCTCGTCATGCAGCAGCCGGTCTGAGATCTGTGCACCGGCAGGGGTACGAATGGAGGGACACAGAGAAGGAATTGGCGGGAATAGCGGAGGGTGAGGGTTAGGAGGGGGTGGGGGTTGTGGGGGGGGGGGGAGAGGATGGAGGGAAGGGTGACAGTGGGAATAGTGGGACGCATAAAGGGAGGGAGGGGGGAAATGAGAGCGGTGGACGGATGGATGAACGTGTAACATCACATGCCATGCCACGACCCTCCCCAGGGTTGAGTCCCCGTTGTGCTACAACCTATCTCTCTGCCCCTATGGCCACTCTCCTGCTCCCACCCGTCCCTCCCAGCCTCCTCTCTCTCCCGCTCCCTCTTCCTACCACCTCCCTGCTTTTACCCCACTGTCTTCTCCATCCCACTGTCTGACCCTCTCCCTCCCACCCACTCCCTCAAATTCTAACCTGCCAGGCCTCCATGCTCTGCTGGAACGCCTCGAGCCATTTGCTGGCCTCTCGTCGCGTGGACCGGTCCGTCGTCTGGTACAGCGCTTCTAGCACTCGCAGCAGCGTCGCCGTCGTGTCGCCCGCCGCCTCAGGAGCCGCCATCTCTTACGGATGCGACAGAATGCGATGGAATGCGACGGATGCGACGGAAGGTGAGAAGACGATGAGCGGTGGTGATGCGGAGCGCACTGACGCCCGCGGGCGATGCGAAAGCGCGACGGAATATGTTACGGGGCTTCTGGGGATCGCTATATTGATACCCCTCCCCCAGAATAAAGCAAACGCGGGCCAGTCGACGGCCTTGAGACGGCAGGTACAGCGGCGGAAACCTAACGCCGCCTACAGGCAAGAACACTCTCTCCCCCTGCTGCCGCTGCAAGAACGATGAAGGGTGCAGCAACGAATGCTTCGGTCTCAAGCGGATCGGAACAGAAGCACGTGGCAGGTAAGGAGCGACGATTCTACTACTATCGGGGCTTGAACGCAATGAGAGCGAATCTGAGCTTCGGAGCTTCGCTGTCAGGAGCCTTGAAGTAGTGAATCCGAGGCAGTAATGAGCCTGCGAAGGAACCTGGGTCGTCGAATTCACTAAGCAGGATCCGCAGCAAGCGAATCTGCACCAGTCAATCGAGGAGAGGTGGTGTAAGCTAAGCCCTGGGGTACGGTGGATTAGGAGCGGGACGGGACGAGACGAATCGCAAATCGCGCGATGCGTTTCGTCTCAAGGTGACGCGTACGCCCTAATGTTGCATCTCGGCATGTGCGTTCCGCTATGGCGTGGGGTAAACTGGACCAGAAGCAGCAGAAGCAGCTGGGGCATGAGTCAGTGAGCCAGTGACCAGGCAGCTTTCTGATCGGGACTCGAGATGCAGCAGCAGGAGAGATGAGTTGAACTCGGTACAACTACGTCTCTGTGTGGCCAGAAAGCACGATGGAATGGTGATGATCATGGGGGACGTCAAAATGCGAGGAACTTAGGGGATTTTAGGTGGCGTCATGAGCTTACGGGACTTTCTAGGGACAGTTTAGGGCTGATGAAGCACAAATTGGCGCTGGCGAAAGAGTTCGCAGGCTCGTATGCGAAATTGAGCTGATGTTTTACCGCGAATGTTGTCAGAAACCGTTTTTTGTTGTCAGATGGGCCAGCGACCACAAGCGAGATGCCGCCAAGGTTGAGTCAGCTACGACAGCTAGTGCGTATTCTCTGTGACAAATCAGACAGAATCTTGCCAAAATGTCAGCCGGCAGTCTGTCGCATATGCTGCAAGCTTTACAATCCGCACTGACACGAGGTTGCCCGTTCCGAAAAAAGTACGTATGCGAAATACCGCCGCACTACGGCTCGTTTAAGGCAAACCTCTGACATATCTCAATTAGAATATACCTAGAGCCCTCAACTATTTCCAACAAAGCTGTCCTCCAAGAGACATTCATAACTAGCCAGCAGATGCTAACAAACGACCCCCTGACACACTCAGCTATAGCATGACCTAGATCTTGTTATCACTAAAGGCCACCGAAAGCATGCCATCTTGCTCTCAACCAAATTACGTACTTGCTCCCAAGGTAGCAGAACTGCCAACTACACTAGAATCAGCATAACAATCCTACTCCTTACCAGCAGTGGAACCAGTAGACGCAGCAGCAGCAGCAGCAGCAGCAGCAGCAGCGGCAGGGGGAGGAGCAACAGAACTTGCTCCAGCCCCACTTTTCACCTGCTCCCTCTCCTCTGCACTGTCGAAGACTGCCAAATCGTCCTCATCCAACTCAGGTAAAGGTGACAGCGCCTGGGAGGCCCCAGCTCCATAGTTCTGCTGCTGCTGCTGCTGCCCCAGCAAAGCTCCTCTGATACTATCATCCTCATTAGAAGAATCTAAACCCCCTCCCATACCCGCACCCGCACCTCCACGCCGGGTCTCGCTTGCGGTCTGCCCGAGGGGGAAGTGCGAGGGGTGGGAGTCAGTGGTGCTGAGGCGCTCAAAGGCGAGAGCGGCAGTGCGGCGAATGCGGGTGATGTAGAGGAGGTAGAGGCCGGCCGCGAGGAGGAGGAGTGAGTAAACGAAGACAGTGACAAAGAGACCTGTCCAGAAGTCAGTCTCCTGAATCATGTGGGGCAGGCGGCCTGGTGAGGGGAAAAGAGGGGGAGGGCGGAGCTAGGGGAGGTCAAATCCAAGCAAGGGTGAACTAAAAAGCCGACTTTTGTTACACCAAGGTGGAGACAATGGGAGTGAACAAAATCATAAGAAACGCTCATAATACACAAGGAGAAGAATTGGTACAAATGGGAGGGGGAGGTAGGGGGAGGGGGGATAGCGCCACTGCTGGCCGAAAACCCCCAACGGTTCTGACCTGTGAAGGTGCGTGGATTAGGTGTGATGGGGTTGCGGAAATCAATCCATGCAAATGCAAAGTCTGCACAGGGAGGAAGCATGGGTGGGGAGCAGGAGGCAGGAGTGATGGCGCTAAGGGGAACGGAGGGAAAAAACGGGTCCAGAGAAGGAGAGAACCGAAAGGAGGCAAGAAACGAAGACAGGAGAAGAGGATGGATAAGAGAGAATGTGCACACGAGACTTGTGAGATAACAACTGTTTGGCAGGTAGGTTGATGATTGATAGAAAAATAGACCAGTTTTTGGGAGATTCCAAAAACCAGCTCATGTAATGGGATAATGAACCAGGTGCTGAGGACAGTCAGGTAAGGCATGCTTCCCCATGCTTCCTCGTACCAGTGTCGACAAGGTCGAAGGTCTCTTCCCCGCTGCCGCCCTTGCGCATGCTGCGTGCCTCCACATAGACCGACCCATTAGCAGCAATGTCGTAGGAGAGGAAGGCATGCTGCGCGTGCTCGTGATTGGCTGCATCGTGGCTCATCACCTGCAGCAGCAGCGCTCCGTCCCTAGAAATGAGGGAAGGGAGGGGCGGGGGTGGGGGGAGGGGGGCAAGGAGGGGGGGAGTGGTGCAAAGAAGGGGTGAGAGAGGAAAAGAGAGGTGAGTAAATGGAAGGAATGACACCAAGTGTGAGGAGTCTATTTTTGAGGCGCCTCAAAAATAGAAGAGGAGAGAGAGGAAAAGAGAGGTGAGTAAATGGAGGGAATGACACCAAGTGGCACCTTGTGCGTGGTGGTGGATGGATGCATCATGGCTCACGGTTCAGAGGAGGTGAGTGACGTCGTTAGAACGGGAGGGGGTGGGTGGTTTTGGGGGGAGAGGAGGCGCCACATGCAGCCTTGAGGCGCCTCAATGATATTCCCCTTCCATTACCCACCTTTCCCCTGCATTCGCACCTCTCACTGGTGTGCCAGGCTCTCAAAGTCTTTCACTAGACTTCCTGAAAATCGATCACTTCTTGTGTGCCAGGCCCTCACTTGTGTGCCAGGCCCTCACTTGTGTGCCAGGCCCTCACTTGTGTGCCAGGCCCTCACTTGTGTGCCAGGCCCTCACTTGTGTGCCAGGCTCTGCCTCGGCATAGTGCCACCCTATCGGCACCACATGCACCTTCTGAGGCGCCTGAAAGGTATTCCATCCTCTCACTTCACTTACTCCTCCCTCTTCCCTTCCCCTCTCCCCTTCCCATTCTCACTTGTGTGTGATGGGTTCTGCATCGGCATAATGCCGACCCATCGGCACCACATGGAGCTCGTATCGCCCCGGACCTAGCCGCCAGCATCGGAACTGTCCCGCACCTATGATAGGTGTGCCGGACCTGCCCTCTATGTGCGCTCCGATGAGGCTGGCAAAACGAGGATACGAGAACAGAACATTAAAAAAAGGGAAGGGGGAAGGGGGAAGGGGGAAGGGGAGAGGGGGAGGGGGGAGGGGAAGGATGGGAAAGCGGGGGGGGGAGGTGGGGGGTCGGGCTTGGGGGGTTGATTGGCGAGGGCAAGGAAACGAGTGTTGGGACACACATAGAGGCCAACCTCACATAGAGGTAGTGTTGGGAATTAATACATCATGCAGCGAAGCCCGTGCCTCATGGCCAACTTCACACATCCCACAAGACACAAATAAGAATGGCTTCAGCATACAAAGATCAAAAGAGAAGCAACGATAAGAGCCAAGGAAAAAGAAGATAAAGAGCGAATCTGTACATACAAGGATTCGTTATCAGCACAGACAAAAGCACGGAACTTTTCTCTCAATCAGATTTAAGCACACACTGACACGCTCACACGTTCACACGGTGGCACGCACCCTGCGGCGTTGTACGGAATGTAGACAAACGCAAAGGCAGCCTGAGCAGGGGGCGATAGATCATCTGCACTGTCTGTGCTGTCCTTGCGCACCTGCACCCACCACGCACCACTGGCATAGGAGCAGGAGGAGGGAGACGGGGGAAAAGGGGGAAGAAAGTGCCTTTTCCATAGGCACTTAGTACTCCAACGTTCTTCTGCGTGGACTCCAAAGCATGGGGAAGCACGGGATTAATTAATAAATGGAATAACTGTATTTCTTAATAAATGGAAAGTGGAGGCGCTTAGGGGAGTCAGGCGAACAGGGAAGAGGACAGGAAGGGTTGGGATGAGGGGGTTGGGCGCGTGAGAGGGGAGTGCATACAAGGGAAGACCAAGCAGGGCGAAAGACGGGGAGAGTGGGAGAGAGGGGGCGAGGAGGGGTGGGTGGGTGGGTGGGTGGGGAGGCGAAGGGATGATGGAGAGTTACTCTGAAGTGGGGTAGGTGCTCATGATGTTGAGGTCGTTGTTCTCAGGGCCGGAATAGGAGCTGCAGGGGCGGAAGAACAGGAGGCAGCAGGGGGGCAATTTGTTAGGGGCGAAAGCAGAGACGGAAGCAGAGGAAGGAAATAGTGGAAGGCACGAGCTAGGAATGCAGGCATGGGACAGTGAGGTATGAGGTTCATGCTATGCCGTGCACCTGTTGAAATGGACGAAGCTCACTTCATGCCGATCGGAGGAGGAGGAGGAAGAGGAGGAGGAGGAGGAGGAGGAGGAGGAGGAGGAGGAGGAGGAGGAGGAGGAGGAGGAGGAGGAGGAGGAGGAGGAGGAGGAGGAGGAGGAGGAGGAGGAGGAGGAGGAGGAGGAGGAGGAGGAGGAGGAGGAGGAGGAGGAGGAGGAGGAGTATTTTTTTAGTCTTCCTAAGGCAGAAGGGCATGATTAAGCTTGCCGTCTTCATGCCCGTGTCATTCCCTTGCACTCACTTGAGCAGGAAGAGCATCCCTTCAGACGGATGCGCGTGCGGCAGGCGCAGGGTGGCGCCCATGTGCTGCCAGGTGAGCACCTCGTTAGCGTCAGCAGGCAGGGCAGAGGAGAAAGACCCCCAGCTGGCCCAGGACGAGCGAGAGTCAGGGCGGTAGGCCGGGGGGTCAGGGGCGTTGAGATAGCCGCCGATCCAGCCTGGAGGATGGAGGGGTGGATAGCAATCGGGTGGGTGGACGCAGCTCGTTAGTGTCAGGGGGAAGCGCCAAAGGGAAGGAGCCCCAGCTGGTCCAAGAGGAGCGAGAGTCGGGGTGGTAGGCCAGAGGGCCAGGGGCGTTGAGATAGCCACCGATCCAACCTGGAGGGGGAAAGGATGGAGTGGGGAGGGTGGGAGCAGCTCGTTAGCGCAAAAGGGCAGGGCAGGGGAGAAGGAGTCCCAGCTGGTGCAGGAGGAGCGAGAGCCGGGACGATATGCTGGAGGGTCTGAGGCGTTGAGATAGACTCCGATCCAACCTGGAATGACCGACCACGCACAGTTTGCATACCTAGTAGTACGTGCAATCGGAATATTGCGAGAGGTGCATTGGTGGTGAGGAAAAGATGCATCCTTTGCTGTCACCATCGCAGTAGGGAAGCAAGCAAGCATATGCAGCATGTGACTACCCTGAGGGTAGGGAAGCCATGCAATGGCCATGTCTATGCTTCCAACTCTTAGGCGCCTCGGAATGAAGCAAGCATAGCAAGGATGTGAAGAATGTGATAACCTTGATAGTAGGGGAACCATGCAATGGCCACGTCGATGCTTCCCTCCTCCTCTGCTCCTGCTTGTCCTACTGTGACTGCAGGTGCATGGGTAAAAAGAGGAAGAGGGTGCGAGGGTGCGAGGGTGAGAAGGAGAGGGGGAGAAGATGAAGGTTCACACGAATAGGGAGAATGAAAAGCACGGAAAAACCGACGAGGATTGGCATGAGAGAGCTGGCTTGTCAGGAGAGAGGAGAAGGGAGCGAGTTGCGAGACAGACAGGAGAAGCAGAATGACATAAGGGTGGCGAACGCATCTGATAGCTCAGAATGGCATGAGGGCTCTAAGGCTTGCACTCACTGTCGAGGTTGGGCTCCTTGTTGGTGAAAGAGCCGTCGTCCATGCTGCAGACGTGAGAGGGAGATGAGAGGAGATGAGAGGAGATGGGAGGGAGGAGGAGATGAGAAGAGAAGGGCGAACAGGGTCATGGGAAAGGGAGTGCAGCTGGAGTGAGAGATGATGAAGATGGCACGTGAACTGAACAGAACCGTTTCTTCATGTAGAAAGGGAAAAGCGATGGCACACACAAGGTGGTGCGAGAGGGAGCACACGATTTTTGCCACGACTCAAAACGTCTCAAAACACCCACATGAGCCATGATATGGCTATCGTGGTACGCGTGAAGAGAAGGCACATGAGGAGGACATGTGGTGTGGGTTAGGTTAGATAATACAAGTGATGTCAGCAAACCAGTAGGTAACGGCATTGAACTGAAGGAAATGCGGGAGGGAGCTGAGCATACTTATATCCATAGCCTCGTGATGACGTGGCACATGCCTGAGGTCAGAAGCACATGGAAGACACGAGCACATGGAAGACACCGACACACGCACGCACACAGAAGAGAAATGGAAAGAGGGCCCGGGTCATGTGATGATATGCGCGCATATGCGGACGTGTGGCAATGGTACAGGCTCTCCTGCCAGCCCTCCCTCAGCGTGCGCCGGGATCTGAGGTTATGAGCACACCACACACACACACAGTCGAACCAAGCGTGAGGAGTCTATTTTTGAGGCGCCTCAAAAATAGTGCCCTCCCTCAGCATGCGCCGGGATCTGAGGTTATGAGCACACCACACACACACACACAGTCGAACCAACGCGAGTGTGCCCATCTCATCATGTCATCTTACGGCATCCCTCACCACTGCGCCGTTGCCCATCTCACCACCGTGCCATGCCACAGAACACGGGCTTGGACCTGTTCCACAACGGTCCAAAAGCTTTGACGAGCCTTTGACTCATGCTCGTCGCTCACCTCTCTGCCATGCAGAGCATCTCACCACGGTGCCATGCAGAGCATCTCACGACTTTGAGTCATGCTCACCTCTCACCACGGTGCCATACGGAGCATCTCACCACGGTGCCATACAGAGCATCTCACCACGGTGCCATACGAAGCATCTCACCACGGTGCCATAGAACACAGGCTTGGACCGGTTCCACTGCTGCCCGTTCAGCGCCACGCTCGCCATCATCACGCCCATGTTGATGCTCGGACTCCACGCCTGCACAACGCACAGCAGCACGGGGCAGCAGCAGCACAAGCACAGCAGCAGCAGCAGTAGCAGCAGCAGCAGTAGCAGTAGGACTAGGAGCAAGCTAAATGAAATGACTGGAAGTGCGTTAACAGCATCGCCATTCTTGCCTCATCCCCACAGCTCAGCATCCTCACGCCAGCCTCTCCCATCCACTCATCCCCTCTCTGCCACTGGCCCGCCTCCCCACCTACCCGCCTGTCCATCTTTGAGGCGCCTCAAAAACAATTTCTGAGGCGCCTAAAAAACCTACCCGCCTGTCCATCCCTCCGTCCCTTACAAATTGCCCAGTCGTCCACCAAGCCAAACCCCTTAACCTCCGCATCATCCCCTCACCTCACATATCCCTCACCCGCTTTCGCCCCTCCCCGCTCGAACCGCCCGCCCATCTGCACGGCAACATTCTGTGGGTCGTCCGTATCAAACTCCCGCATCTCCATCAGTGTCCATGTTTGTGAGTATGTCCGCAGGTAAGAAACAAACAACATAAGGAACCCTCAGTGTTATTGCAACACCCATTCCTCCTCACCCGTTCCCCCTCACCCGTTCCCCCTCACCCATTCCCCCTCACCCGTTCCCCCTCACCCGTTCCCCCTCACCCATACCCTCCCACATCCCCCCAACCGCCCACCTGCACGGCGGCATTCTCCGGGTCGTCCGAGTCGAATCCCCGCAGCTCCATCAGGATCGCCAGGTTCGGCTGCGAGAACGGCCGGCTCGGCCCAATCCTCGGCGACAGGTCGCCCGGGTTCCACCGAGCCACGCTGAAGGGCACGGGGCCCTGCCCCTTGATGTCCACCGCGAGGAGATTATTATCCGTGGTGGTGCCGTCTGATAGGTGGTGCGAGGCGTCCATGTGGATCACTGCGCCCGTGACTGACGTGGCAGAGTAGGGTGGCGGGACGGCCGCATGGCGAGCGTCCCGGGGGGGTTGCGGCGTCGGTGTGGACCACTTGCGGGGAGCTGGGGGGATGGGGGGACGGGAGGAGGGGGGAGCAGGGGAGGAGGGGCAAGAGGGGGGGAAGACGACGGCGGAAGGTGGGGGGGGGGGGGGGCGGGAGACCAGGGGAGGGAGGAATTTGAGGGACGGAAAAAGTTGGAAGATGGGGCCTACCAAGAGAAGGGAAGGTTTGGGAAGAAAGAGGAAAAAGGAAGATGAACAGGACAGGGGAGAGGGGTGGGATAGGAGAAAGCTTGAACCTGAAAAGGAGGTGCGCACGCACACAGACACACAGAGATACGTGCATACAGGCATACAGGCATACAGGCAAACAGGCATACATGCACACATGCACACGTGCACACATGCACACAGGCACGCAGGTACACAGGCACGGTACCTGAATCAGCGTGGACCCCACTCGAGAGGCATGCCAGAGACACCAGCGCCACTGCTATTGCCAGCAGCACGGACTGCCCCATTGCCGTCACGCATGCGAGTTTCACGCTGCGCTGAGAGGGGAATCACGCACTCAGGAGTCACTTAGAGCGGATCACGCGAACTGCTCCTAAGCGCTGGACCTTCTTATGAACGTTTATTTTTCCTCGCCGAGAGTAGTACTAGGAAGACCAGATGACGAGAATGAGCCGAGATATTTTAGAGCCGATCAGAGCGGCGCGAGTCTGAAAACTGATACGAATAATGCTGACGACATGTCACTGCAATGATCGACGCTTTACAACGGTGTTGCCTTCACAGGCAAGTTAGACGACGAAAACGTCGTTCTAGCTAAACAAAATCTAAGCAAGCGGCATGTTTCGTCTACGTTCCCTTGTGTGCAAACAAATCAGTCGCGAGTCGCGACCGGCACTCTATCTGTAATGTAGGGTGACCTAAATGGTAGTATACTGTATGGTGTGGGGGATGCTGCTCTTTCCCTGAACTGGAGGTGAAGAAAGCCGGCAGGGAAGATATGCCTGCGAATAAAGAAAACTCGGTACATGCATAGCGATGGCAGCTTTGGCTGGTCTCGTACGCCCTACAGGTTGCTTACAGAATTCTCGCATAGGTACTTCTTATGGGAAGCCAAGCCATAATGAAATCGTGGAAAAATGGGCAGATATTTGGAGTAGCTACAATCTGGATACGAGAAAACACCTCACAAAACACATTGGTGGTCACCCTAATTCCCTGAGTTGCGACTTTGAAACAGCCATCGCACTGGAGCCTACTGTATCGCATAGATCTCGGACATCACTGTGCCAAACCGAGCTGCACCGGCAACTAATAACAATAATTGGCACTCAGCGCACTCGTTCAAACCACAACAGACCCTGTGGTGAGAGTGCAGCTGAACTGTGAAGAGCCCATAACCAGTTGCAGCCTGTAAAACAGGGCGAACAGCAACAACCAGGCTTCACTTCCATCACCATCCGGGCATCCTCGAAGCTCGCATTGCAGACTGAAGACCAGCGACCCGCAGCCGTTTGTAGCGAAACGCAACGATGCTGCTCCAGCGATCAGCGGCACGTGCTGCCATTCCACTGCAGCCGCCGGTTCCCACACACAGACGCCAGCTTCCCTTAAGCACACTGCTTCCCAGGTCATCCTTACCGTCGTTCGCACCGAATGCTGCTGCATACGCCTCGTGTAGCTCGCTTGAGCGATCTGGGAGGCAATTGCGATGTGCAAACGGCGTAATTGGCAGACGTGCAGCTTCAGGACTGCCAGCCGTAAGATCTATCCGCCCGCGTGATCCGACCGTTGGGGTGACAGCACACGCTGTCACTGTTGCCGACGATTCCTCGCCTGCGTCTGCCTCCACTACGTCCTCCCTTCCCCTTCGCGCTGCGTTCTTCGACGTGGACGGGACTATAACGAGCAGCAACGTGGTGGCCGCGTTTGTAGCACTTCGCCTAAGGGACATGCCGCTGCTGCAGAAGGCGGTCTGGCTGCCGTGGTTCGCACTGAACGTGGTGCTCTACCTGATCCTAGACTGGATCGACCGGGGACTGTTCAATCGCACGTTCTACCGTAATTACCGGGGAATGCGAGTGAGCGAAAAGGAGGCTATGGCGGACTTCGTGCACACGAACTACCTCAAGTCGAAGTATGAGAGGGAAGAGGAGGTTTATGTAGCTGGACGGTGTGCGGAGAGAGGGTGGGTGAGCGCGAGAGAGGGATCCAGGGAGAGGTGGGGAAAGCGGGGTTGGTGAAAAGGAAGGGATGACAGAGATGGAGGGATGTGCTACAGCGTTGCAGGCATCTTCGAGGCTCTTATTAACTCTGCGTCTTTTTTCAGTCTCATGCCATCTCTTTTCCCTCGGCTTCCTTCACCACCCCCTGTCCGTTCCTGTGCCATCCAGGGTCTTTCCGGGGGTCCTGGATCATATTACCCGCCTTCGCACTGAGGGCTTCCGGATTGTTCTTGTTACTGGCTCACTTGATTTCCTCATTGAACCACTCGCCAAGGACGTATCTGCAAGTACGTTGAGGCTTCCACACTCCCCACATTGCATATCTTAAGTTCCTCTATTCTTGACAGCATCCTGAGGTGATTGATACATGCCTGCTTTCCCCTTATCTCTCTGCCTTCTCTTCTTCATCCGATCTCTGATTTCACCTGACCCTCTCTTCCGTTTTCGTCTCTGGATGTCTGGTGTCGGCCAGGTGCTGTTTTTGCTGCAAAGCTGAAGGAATCTGATGGCAGGTTCACAGGAGAGCTGGAGGGAGAGGCAGTGAGCAGTGCAGAGAAGGCAGCCGTGATCAGAGGGTATGCAGAAAGGGAGGGTATTGCGTTGGAGGATTGCTATGCATACGGGGACAGCTATGCCGACTTTCAAATGCTACTTGAGGTGAGTTGGTTAAGACATACTTCCTACAGAATTTTGGTTACATGGTCTAACGATCCCTCTCTTGCTGCCTATGCCAAATTCACTAGGTGGGCCATGCATATGCAGTACGGCCAGACAATCGCCTGCGCGAGCAAGCAAGGCAACGAGGATGGATAGTGGTGGAAGATTACAGCCAGCTGGATGGTGTGACAGATGTTTGATGGTGGCTGGCTTCCATGATGTTTTACATTAGTGAGTCCAGTTAGTGTTGTGTGTAATTTACGTTACTGGCACCCAAGCTCTTCTAGTTTTTCGTCTGCAGTGGTGTATGTCCTGGTCAACCCGATTGCCACGTAGACGACTCCTCTGTTTTTCTCACCTTTGTTGTCTCCGAGTAAACACAGGCTAGTTCTTGCCGGGTCTACTAATGGAAGACGCTTCGAAATACACAGTCTAGTTTTCGTCGACCGATTTCTGAGCTTGCCGAGTCTTTTTTGCATGTTCGATTGGAGGAGACACCTTCAAATCGACCTGGTGCTTACAAAACAAATATCAGAGGCGCAGTGCTCTATTCCCGAGGCTGACGTGGTTTCCGAGGCTTCTGTTTCCCCCTTGGTCTGTTGTGGTTTCCCTGAAAGTGACGTGTTTCTTCTGGTTCGGTGCGGTATTCCCCTTGCCCTACCTACCCATTTCAAACCAAACCAACCAGCCTGTCCCCCAAACTGAACCGAATCTCGACTTTTTTTCCCCCCCCAAATCCATAATCCCTCCCGAGTCTCCCGAGTCTCTTGACTCCAAACCAATCAGCAGCAGGCCTCTCGCTAAGCCCCAGGGTATTCCGGAAGGGGACGGAATCGCCTCAGGATCACCCGTTAACAGACGGAATTCCCCCAAAAAAACCAGTTACCGAAAGGAATCGGCCGCTACAAAATCGGCTAGCAAGTGATCAAAGGAGGGGCTGGGCGGGAGGGGGGGGGGGTGTGGGGGTGGGAGACGAGGGGGAGGGGCGGGGGGGGTTGGGCGGTCGCTGCCCCCTACAGATTTCCCTGCTACAAGGATAGCCCGTACGGATTCGAAGAAAAGTTACTCGTTAGGCTAAGGAATCGCGCGAAAATGTTTCCGTAAGTTGGACGGATTCGGAAAAAAATCGCACTGTAAAAGAACGGAATCACTTGAAAAGTTACTCTTAATTTCTCGACATTAAGGGTAATTACCCTGTTAGCAAGAGGCCTGATCAGCAGCACCAACGCCAAACCTTGAGTTTCCCACCCAGCCGCCCTCGCACCATCAACCATCCCCCCGCGAGAGGTAAGGTAAGGTTGTCAGACTTTCTGACTGATGGGCTTCCGCGGTTGTCGGTGACTCTCAATGAGGGTGACCTGACAACAACGCCTAGGTGATGTGATGGCCTGACAGGTTCGCTGTCACGTACAGGGGACTCTCAATGCCCACTTGTCAATCTACAATATGGTCTTACCTTCCCGTCGTGGTGGTAGCTCCGAGCTATCCGTAGGGTGTAGGAGATTAATTAGAGAGCTAACACACACATCTCTCCTTTGTTGCTTCGTCCAAGACCCCAGTTTAGCAGGCAACGACTCACCAATACAGCGTGGTCAAGAAAACCTCCTAATAATAGTGAGCCTGCATCCCTGAAACTTCGGGAATGATAACGCTGGCATGGCTCGCTCGACAAGCCCGAATCGCGGCTCAATACACCCGCAGCGAGGGCTTTACCGTCTCTCTCCTGGCCGGAGCCCGAGTTCTCACCATGTCAGCGTTAATCCTCTACCTCCTCATCGCCACCTCCGCCTGGCTCGAACCCTCCCGGCGACCGCCGAACCACCCCGTCCCGCAATTCCCGCCATTCCACGTGGACCCCGACTCGGGCCGCATACGCGACGTGTACAACCGCGAGCGCGTGTTTCACGGTGTGAACGCGGTCTTCAAAGCTCCTCCATGGCACCCTCCAGTCCTGGACTCGTTCCATCCTGCGCTCTCCTTCTCCCCCGCCGACTTCGCAATTCTCCAGTCCCTAGGCCTAAACGTCGTGCGCCTAGGCGTGATGTGGCCGGGCGTGCACCCGGCGCGCGGGGAGACGAACGAGACGTATCTCCTCGTGATGAAGCGCATGGTTCGGCAGATGCGAGCGGCGGGTATCTACACCCTGGTGGACTTCCACCAGGACGTGTTCGGGTCAAGGTTCTGCGGGGAAGGCGCGCCGTCGTGGCTGTTCGACGAGCAGGCGGCGACCGTGGCGGTGTCTGCCGCGTTTAGTGCTAGTGGGCTTGACCAACAGGATGGCAGCAGTACACGCGGTGATAGCGTCACAGAAGACATCTTCCGCTCGAACGCCGGCAACAGTTTGAAAGTCAACAGCAGCAGCAGCACTCGGCAAGACTCAGACAGCACCCTGACTCATAGTATGACCAGCAGCGGGAGCATCATCGACGGCGGCGGCGGCATCCTGCCGTGCGTGGGGTTCGCTGTGTGCATGCGACCCATCGAGTACGCTAAGAGCTTCCCCGAACCGCTTAGCCGCCGGTTCCATTTGCTACCACGTAGGACGCTCGACGAGACAGCAGAGACCACAGAGACAGTAGAGACGACAGAAACAGAAGAGGCCACAGCTGGAGAGGCCACAGCTGATGACTCCATGGCAGGAATAAGGCTGGTGGTAGAGGCGGAGACGGGCTTGACGAAACAGCCTGCCGCTGCTCACGCTCCCACAACCACAGCCACAGGAGCTGACTCAGGCGCAGGCGCAGGCGCAAGAGCGAGCAGCAGCAACAACCACCGGTGGAGCAATTATCACGCCAGCGACCCAGACCCAGAGCAGTGCAGGCGCCACTCGTGGAGCGACTACCACTTCACCTACGCCGTGGCGCGGGCCTTCCAGGACCTCTACGAGAACCGCTGGGGGTGGCGCGACCGCATGGCGGACTACTGGGCCGAGGTGGCCCGGGCGTTTAAAGACGAGGACGGGTTGCTGGGGTACGATCTTATCAACGAGCCCTGGGTTGGGGACGAGTTTTCAAACCCCATGCTGATGGCGCCGGGCGTGGCTGATAAGCTGAACCTAGCCCCGCTGTATGAGCATCTACAGTCGGCGATTCGAGCGCAGGATCCCAACCGTCTGATCGCCTTTGAGACGGTGACGTTTGACGATGCTGTGAGCGGGCTGCGGTGGGTGCCGGGCGGGCGGGCGTGGCGTAACATGAGCGTGCTGAGTTACCACCACTACCAGCCGCCGAACATCGGCGTGCGCGCGACCATGAAGCAGCGCATGGCGGAGCGGAACCGGCTGAAGTGTGGCGCCATGCTCACTGAGTTCAGCCTCCCGAGCATCCCTGTCGGAGTTGGGGTGGTGCGGGACCGGGATAGACCAGCTGGGGGGACTGGTGATTCTGGGGGAAGCGCTGGCTCTGGTGGTGGTGAGACGCCAGCCGGCGGAGAGAGGCCAGCCAACCGAGCACTGGCCCTGAGCAATTCTACAGCTGTTCCAACCTCAGGATGTACCGTGCACAGGAAGGAATTACAGGGCGTGCTGCAAAAGACATCGCTGCAGTGGGCAGAGCAGAGAGCGCAGTCAGCAGCAGGGAAAGCAGTGGTGAAGGCTCTGTTGCGCTGCGATAAAACAGAGGCAGCAGGTGCTGTGCAGGTCCAGGCAGAGAAGCACAGGGAGAGAACTGCGAGGGAAATCAGCAACTCAGTGCAAGAGAACAACGCTCCGGCTGAGCTGAGGGAGCAGGAGCGTGACCCTGGGCAGGGTGCATGGAGAGAGTTTGAGGAAATCTTGGATGCAGCGGACGAGCATGTGCAGTCCTGGATGGCATGGGAGTATAAGCCATTTCACCCGATCACAGGCGCAAACCTTGGACTGTTTCATCCCAACGGCTCACTCAATACACACCTGGCGCTCATCCTTGCCCGGACGTACCCACAAGCAGTAGCAGGGCGTATCTTGGAGTTTTATTTCAACGCATCTGCTGCCTCGTTTCATTTGGCGTACTCTGCCAATCACCCTCTACCACCAGAGCGGAAAGTTGGACCCATTTCCTGGTTGTCTTCATCTGAAGATGGAGAGGAGCAGGTAAAGATGGGTCCTCCACCAGCAGCAGCTGCTATGGAATTTCTGACGGAGATTTTCTGCTTCCGATGTGGGGAGGAGGGGTGGAGCACCGGTGTGCGTGTGGTGCCTGCAACGGTGAAGTGGGAGGTGAAAGGGCGCATGGTGGAGGTGCGGCATGAGGTGAGGGATGCGGGGAAGAAGGTAGATGTATGGATCACGCATGACAGAAAGGGCGGACTGTCTGAATTACCCGGGACAGCTACCATGTGATTGACACTAGCCAACTAACACAACCTTTAGATATAGAGAATCATTGTGGTGATCATTCTGATATTTTGTATGGCTGACCACGTCTTGTGCCTGTTAACAAATATAGATCCCAGTGATAACAGGTAACACACAATGTATAAGGTTGAACTAGATTTGTTGTATACTTATGACAGCTTTGCAGTGGTGTGTGCATGCACGTCATTACTAACAGAATTATTAGGAGCACATGCCACCATTCCATGATAGATAAAAATGCCCCCATTGATATGATTAGATTGGGTGGGGGGGGATGTGACGTGCTAATACTTACGTGTTTACATCAGATTGTTGAAAGTGTTTCTACTATTGTCGATAACCGGTGTACAGTAACGTCTTCCCTCTTCGTCATTTCAGCTCTCTTTTCTCCTCACTGATTTTCTCCCATCCCTCCCAAGCACGCGCAGCCATGGCGTGCCCTGTTCCCCTCCCAAGCGAGCTCTCCTCTCACTCAGCTCCCCCCAAGCACGTCGCTGATTGGCTGCGCGACGATCAGGAGGAGCTTTCCACTGGTGCTAGATCGCACCATGCATTGCTTGCCCTACTACTCCTAGCTCCTGACTCACCATTAGGGTTTTGTATTTTTTCCAGCTCAGATCTGGAGCCCTGGTGTTTCCGACATTGTATTATTTTTTTGCAATTATACTCTCGCTTTAGTTGTTGTTTGGCTCGCCTTTTTTCACGCTGCATTAGTAGCACACTAGCTTTTCTGGTCTACTTACGTAGTCCGCGTACATCAGCCTACCTTGACTACGTGCTGGAGGAGAAGTGTCCCGTACGTGAACTCGTCATTAGTCAGGCATCCCAATCCCGCTTCTTCCGGTATAACACACACACAAGAGGCTACTATCAGCGGGAACAGTCCCACATCCGATCGTCCTCTCTTTTCGGGCTACTCGTCGCTAAAGCAGGACGCCAGTATTTTCGGCTCTCCCGTGGTGCTGCTCTCGCAAGGGTCACCACTCTCGTGACAGTAACAAGCAGAGCACCCGCTCGAATCCTCCCCGTCCATTTCCATCGCTCCTGCCTGGCGCTTACCTGGCGCTTACCTGGTGACCTGGTGTTGCATACCATCAAATCTTCGATGCACCTAAAAACCGCTTAACTGTTGCTGTGTACCTTCAATCAGTGACTCCTCTTCGGTCCTCCCGGATTCTCCTCTCGTCCGATTCACGTCCTCGTATCCCAGCCCCGTTGCGCGTGCTTTTCAAGCCGTAGAATACTATCTCCACGGATTGCTTCGCTGACACAGACTCTCCGCGGAATCCGGCGTGAATCTCGCGCAAGGATCGTTGCTCGCCGCCTTGCGCGCATCTAGTCAGGTCTAGACCGACTAACCAGCAATCTCCAGACCGTCGCTCCGCGTGCTCCCACTCACTCAATCTCTGGACTTCCGTGCGCCGACTCTTGCCGGCCGCACGCGGAGGACTGCGCGGACGGCTGCGCAGATTTTTCGAGGAGTCCGTTCATCCGCCGCCCGTCCGCGCAATCATTCCCGCGCTGGCACAATAGCCGCGGGGATGGATGGGATAGGTTGATTTTCTGTACAAGGAATTTTAAGAGCACTTACGGACGACTCTGGACGATACGGCCCGCGAGCGGCGAAGAGGGCGATCAGCCCGGCCGAAAGCTGCGACCTGCCACCCGTGGCGTGTGACCTGTCTCCTGTGGCGTGTGGCGTGTGGCGTGTGACGTGTGATCGTGATCACTGCTGCATGCTTCAATAAGCCAGACGGTAGGGTTGCCAGGCAGGGGAAATCAGAAGCATCAGGATCACACTGCCAATTTATTGTCGTCGCATCCCCCTCGCCCCTCTGATCGAAATCCGTTCTTGTTACGACTATCGCGATGGTCTTTTCGCAGTCCGGATGCCGTACATCTCGTTTCGGCGTATGGTTGTCAATGCCGCTTGTTTCCCGTCTCCGCTTTCCGCCACGCTCCGCGGGGTCTCAACTCCCCTGTCCGACCCTCCCGTCCCCTTTCCCCCCTGTCTCTTCTCCTACCGTCTGGTCCCCGCCCTTCTCGGCCCCTTTTCCCCGCTGCCCCCCTCCACTTCTTCCGTCTCTCCTTCCATCTCTCCTTCCGTCTCTCCTTCCTTCTCCCTCCTACCCTCCTTCTTCCCTCCGGCCAATAGTTTCTTCTCGCATTTCTGACCTCTTCCAGTCTCTTCTTGTGCCACAACCTGAGCTTACTCTCTTTGTGTCCCGTCCGTTCTCGCCGCGTGCTGCAGGCCGCACCGCCATGGACCAGGGGTGGCAGAACCAGTTCCAGCAGCAACAGCAGCAGCAGTACCAGTATCAGCAGTACCCGCAGCAGCAGCAGCAGCAGCAGCAGCCGCAGCCGCAGTACCAGCAGCAGCCGCTGCCGTTTCAGCAGCAACAGGCCGTGCAGTATCAGCAGCCGCTGCAGTATCAGCAGCAGCCGCAGCAGCAGCCGCAGGGGATGGGGTATGTTGGGGGATATGCCTTGAACCAGGGACAGGAGTATAGCAACGCTGGTGGCCTGGGTTTGGCGACGGGGGGTGACTGGGCAGCGCAGGGGGGGATGGGGGAGGGTGTGGGGCAGAAGTGGGTGGGCAGTGGGTTGGCGGAAGAAGGTGAAGGGGGGAATGGGGGAGAAGAGGAGCAGGCGCAGGAACAGGAGGAAGAAGAGGAAGACGAGGAGGAAGAGCAGGAGGAGGAGCAAGTGGAGGAGGGTGGGCAAGAGGGCGAGGAGGAGGAAGAGGAAGGGGATGAAGAAGAGGAGGAGGAAGAGGAAGAGGAAGAAGGAGGGGAAGATGGAGAAGGGGAGCAAGCAGGAGGTGCAGGGGGGGATGAGGAGGACGGGGGTCCGGAAGAAGAGGAGGAAGAGGAAGAAGAGGAAGGAAACGAGACGAACGAAGGTGGCGGTGGTGTTGGAGAGGAGGAGGCGGAGGAGGAAGAGGAGGAGGAAGAAGAGGAGGAGGAAGAGGAGGCGGAGGCTGAAGGTCAGGAGGTCGGTCGGGGTTCAGGGGAAGGGGAAGGGGAAGGGGAAGGGGAAGGGGAAGGGGAAGGGGAAGGGGAAGGGGAAGGGGAAGGGGAAGGGGAAGCAGAGGAGGAAGCAGAATGGCTAGAAGGTGAGCAGGAAGAGGAGAGTGGAGGAGAAGAGGAGGAAGAGGAAGGAGATGAACAAGAGGGGCAGCAGGAAGTGATACAGGAAGGGGTGGCGGACGAAACACAGGCTTACAATCAAGGGGAGGGGGAGGGGCAAGAGGAGGAGGAGGAGGAGGAGGATGAAGAGGAAGAAGAAGAGGAGGAAGAGGAGGGGGATGAAGAAAGGCGGGAGGAGGGTAGGGAGGATCATGGATTTCAGGGCTCTGGTCAGGAACCCCTGTGGGTGCAAGGCGATGCAGGGGAGTTGAGAGAGGTACAGGCACAGGGCGAGGAGGAGGAGGAGGAGGAGGAGGAGGAGGAGGAGGAGGAGGAGGAGGAGGAAGAGGAAGAAGAGGAGGAGGAGGGGAATCAGGTGCAAGAGGAAGAGGAGGATGAGGAGGAGGATGACGGAGAGGAGGCAGAGGAAGATGCAGAAGGTAGGGAAGGAGGGCAAGGAGGGAAGGGAGGGGACTGGGAAGGCGCAACAGGGGAGCAGGAACAGGAAGGCGAGGAGGAGGAAGAGGAGGAAGAGGAAGAGGAAGAGGAAGAGGAAGAGGAAGAGGAAGAGGAAGAAGGTGTGGGGGACGAGGAGGAGGAGGCGGTAGGGGGAGTAGATGTAGAAGCGGATCGGGGTGAGACAGGAGGGGAGGAAGAGGAGGTAGAGGAGGAGGAGGAGGAGGAAGAGGAAGAGGCAGATGGTGGGGGGGAGGCAGAAGATGTGGAAGCAGAAGAGGAGGAGGAGGACAGTGTTCAAATCGTGGAAGAGGAGGAAGGGCACGAGGAGGAACAAGAGGCTGAGGGGGAAGAAGAGGAGGAGGCTGAGGAAGAGGAGGAGGAGGAGGAGGCAGTGGAGTTGGCTGAGACTGAAGAAGAGGAGGAGGAGGAAGACCAGGAAGGAGCACATGGGCGAGAGGCGAATGAGGTGAATGGGGAGCAGGGAGAGGGGGCTAGCACGCAGGAGAGTCTGGTTCAGTCTCAGGCTCCGTATCAAGGGCAGGTACCTTCCCAACGAGACTTGCAAGATGCTAAGGGGGTGCCGTTCTATCACTGGCAGCAGGACCATCAGCAGCATCAGCAGCATCGGCATCAAATCAGTGCATCAGCTGCACCCGCACCACCTGCAGCAGTACCAGCAGTACTCGCAGCAGCAGCGGCAGCAGCAGCAGCAGCGGCTGGGGTAGTGGGGGAGGGGTCTCAACGGCAGCAGCGGCAGCGGCGGCAGCCCAAGTGGCTTGAAGAGGAGGAGGATGTGCCGTTGTCCCACATGCGGGGAGGGCGACAGGGGAAAGCATGGCCGACAGGGCATACCCCCGTTCCTGCTGCTGCTGGTGCTGCAGGTGCCGCTGGGAGAGGAGTGGGGCTAGGAGCAGGAGCAAGGGCAGGATTAGCTCCAGTGCCAGGGGCAGGGCTTGGGGCAACGGCAGGAGGAGTAGTGCCAGGAAAAGGGGTCAGCGCTCTTGACGTTGTGGCAGGGCGAGGGCGAGGAGGGGCAGGGCCAGAGTCAGCAGCTGTTGGTATTAGGGGCGCTCTTGCTGCTGGTGTTGGTCGGGGGGGGGTGAAGCAAGAACAGGGGGAAGTTGTTGGATTTGCAGAGTTGAACCACCATCGGCAGCACCTTGCCTCTCCTGCTTCTCGTGCTGCTGCTGCTGCTGATGGCGCTGGTGCTGCTGGTGGTGGTAATCTTAGTGCAGGGAAGAGAGTAGAAAGAGCAGTTTTAGGCGGCCAAGCAGCCTCTGCTAAGGCGGAAGCGGTGGATGGTGCACTCCCCCCTGCTCCGCCTAGTCGGTCTAGACCTTCTGTGCCGCTTTTCACCCCTGCTAGTGCAGATACCAGTCAGTCTAGGGACAGTGCTACTCATACTGCTGGTGCTGAGGATTTTGGTAACAATGCTGGCGCTATTACTGCTGCTGCTGTTACTGGTGTTTCTGCTGGTGGTGCTGCTAGCGGTGCTGCTGGGGATGGCTTGGCGTCTAGGAATCGTGCCAGGTTGGAAGCAGCAGTCGCAGCGGCAGGGGTGCTGGATCTGTGCCCGGGTGTGCGCCTGTGCATGCTGCCTGATTACGATGATATAGCGCCGTGCCTTGGCTTGCCAGGCTATGCGGACGTGTATCTAGATGAAAGGGCGCTGAATCCTAGTCTGGGCCCAGGGGAGCTTGCGTCTGTGGTTTTGGCAGGGGTTATTCAGAAGGAGAAGGAGAGGAGGGAGTGGGAGGTGAGGCAGAGGGTGAGAGGAGAGCTGGAGAGGTTAGGTGGAGAGAGGTTGGAGAGAGAGAGGTTAGAGAGGGAGAGATTAGAGAGGTTGGAACAGGAGAGGAAGGAACGGGAGAGGAAGGAGAGGGAGAGGAGGGAGAGGTTAAGGAGGGAGCAGGAGAGGAAGGAGAGGGAGAGGAGAGAGCGGGAGAGGAAGGAAAGGGAGAGGAAAGAGAGGGAGAGGATAGAGAGGGAGAGGAAGGAGGCCGAGAGGAGGGAGAGGGAGAGGAAGGAACGGGAGAGGAAGGAGAAGGAAAGAAAGGAGCGGGAGAGAAAAGAGAAGGAGAGGAAGGAGAGGGAAGAGAGGGAACGTCAGAGGTTGCTGGAGCTAGAGAGGAAAAGAGAGGAGGAGAGGAGAAGGGAAGAGGAGAGGAAGAGGGAGGAGGAGCGGCTAAGGCTATTGGAGTTGGAACGGCAAAGGGAGGAAGAGAGGAAGCGGCAGTTAGAGCTGGAACGGGAGCGAGAGAGGGAGAGAGAGAGGCAGAGGGAAATTGAGCGAGAACAAGAGAGGGAGAGGCAGAGGCAACTGGAGCTGCAAAGGGAAAGGGAGAGGGAGCAAGAGCGGGAGAGGGAGAGGGAGAGGGAGCGGAAGCGGTTAGCGGAGGAAGCAGCTGCTGCTGCCGCTGCAGCTGTTGCGGCGGCGGCGGCTGCGGCTGCAGCAGCAGCTGCGGCCGAAGAGAGTAATGCGGATCAGATGAAACTATGGGGGGCGTCGAGAAGCAGGGGGTCTAGATCAGGTGTGGGCGAGTGGAACCCGGATATGCTCTCTCAGTATGGCGGCTTGCAGCAGCAGGAACAGCAGCAACAACAGATGCAACAGCCTTACTACCAGCAGCAGCAGCAGCAGCAGCTAGCTGCAGGTATGTGTCAGCACGTGGAGCTAATTACAGAATAGCACCGTTGAGCACCTCCCTCTCACGTGCTGCCACGGCAGGTGTGGCGTCAGGTGCTCAAAAAGACATTTGCCATTTCCCCTTGTCCCCTCCCCTCCCTGTTCTGGCAGGTCTGGCGCTTGGCATTCCTGTGCTAAGCAGTCATAGAGATATGCCGCATGCAGCTTTTTTTGGTTTTGATTGACTTGTAAACAGACCGCTCCCCCTTCATCCCGTCCCCACCCTGTTCTGGCAGGTCGGGCGCTTGGCGTGCCCGTGCATGCAAGGGCAGTCCCAGAAACATGTCCCGTGGTGCTGCTTTTTGGTCGACGTATTCAACGGATCATTCCCCGTTCTCCCCTTCCCACCCTGTTCTGCAGGTCTGGCGCTTGGCATGCCTGTGCAAGGCAGTCCCAGGGACATGTCCCATGCTGCTGGTACGCCGGCTCGTGCCTCTGCTGCGTTGGCTGGAGCTGTTGCAGGGGGGGGGCAGACACCAGTGCAAGCAGCAGGAGGGAACGGAGGGGTTGGATTCCCAGCAGGTACGTTGCAGCAGCAGCAGCGGCAGCAACTGCAGCAGTCAGGGAGAGGCAGGCAGACCGCTGCTAGGTGCGGCTCTGGCTGCAGCAGTGGCAACAGGAAGTAATACCACTCCTGCTGCTGCAACAGCGGCTGGAGCAGCAGAGGCAGCAGATGCAGGGGGTGCAATGCAACAGTTTTCCTTGACCATACCATGCTCTGCTCCCCCGTTCTCTGCCACCCCATTTCCCAAACAACTTATGCCCTCCCATCTACTCTCACTCCGCCTCTCCCCGCCCCTTCCCCCGTCGCAGCACCCACCAAGCCTGGCAAAGCTCCCGGGCCGGTGGCAGGCATCGTGCACGGAAAGCGCGGCGTGGTGGGGGGATCTGTGCGGCGCCTCAAAAACTGCCACAACCCACTCTCACTCTCCTCCCCCCTCCCCTCCGTTCCTTGCCGCAGCACCCTCAAAGCCTGGCGAAGCTGCCGGGCCAGTGGCAGGCACAGTGCAAGGGAAGCGCGGCGTGGTGGGGGGGGGGCGGAGGGAGCCGACTAAGGCAGAGCAGGAGGCGGCGCTGCTGAAAGAGATGGAGAAGACGGCCAAGGCGTGGAGCTCCATGGTGCGGAAAGACCTGCTCAAGCACCACCGGCTTTTTGTGATGACACACAAGAAGCAGTCGTTGGACTGCAAGCGCACCGCGGAGCTGTGCCAGAGAGAGGTGAGCGAGGGAGCGAGTGGGATGAGAGAGTGAGGAGGAGATAAATAGTGGATGAGGGAGTGAAAGAGGAGGAGAGAGTGAGGGAGTGAGTGAGTGAGCTGTCAAGGTAAGAGGAGAGTGAGGGAGCGGTGGGATGAGGCGCTTCAGGACCGAACTTGAATTCTGTAGATAGCTGTAGAGTGCAACGCTGTAGCTGCAGCGCCGGGACCTGGACGCTGGCGGCCTGCCTGGCTGGGCAGCAAGGGAGGCAGCGCGCGCCAAGGGCAGAGAATACGAGGACCGCCCTGCATACGTCGGTTTTTACGCCTTAGCTGTCGAAACCTACGAGGCTTTGGCAGCACCAACGGCAGAATTCCTCAAGTTACTCGCCAAGCATTCTGCCCTGGTTCGCTTCCGTGCTAACCCGCTTACCACACCGGCCAGGAAGTTACATTGCCACTTTCCGGCAGCGGTGGTCAGTGCTGCTCCAGCGGCTCCAGGCAAGCACGCTTATCACCAGAGCCGGGGCGGCTATTGAGGCTGCCTACCCGCAGCTGGCAGAGGACCCCTGGGCACCTCACCTGGGGGATGTATTTGACACTTAGGAAGATGGGGAGCCTTAGTTCCTGGGGGGGGGGGAGGGGGGAGCGGCATAACAATGGGGGCGGCTGGTGCCGTGATCATGTTGGCCTAGACTACTGGGTTCTCCTTTTCTCTGGTTTGCCTCGCTGGTTGTACTCTTGACCTTTCTAGTTTGTACCCAGGTTTAAACACTCCTCTCTCCTCCTGCTTGCTGCGCACCTTTTCTAAAACATGCGCGCATTACCGAGGTTTGCTAGCGTGCACGGAGTGTGTCAAGGCATATTTCCTTGTGGCGGCGGTTTTGAGGCGCCTCAGAACAACCCCCACCTTCCCCCTTCCCAAACGACAGGTCCGAGTACGCGTGACCCGCTCGGTCAAGGCAGCCAAGGGCGCGCCGCTGCGCATGAAGCGTCTGGCCCGAGACATGGTGCTGTTCTGGCGGCGGTACGACCGAGAGCAGACAGAGCTGCGCAAGCGCGAGGAGAAGGAGGCGCTGGAGGCACGGCGGCGACAGGACGAGCTGAGGGAGGCGCGGCGGCAGCAGCAGCGCCTCAACTTCCTGCTCACGCAGACGGAGCTGTACTCGCATTTCATGCACTCCAAGGTCGCGCCGGGGGCCGGAGGCGCGGCTGGTGCTGCTGCTGGGAAGGCGCAGGTGCCTGGTGCCGCTGGGGTTGTAGCCGGCGCAGGCGCTTCTGCTGCTGGTGCTGGTGCTGGTGGTGCTGCTGGTGGTGCTGCTGGTAGTGCTGGTTTGAGTGCGGAGGAGGTGGAGGAGAATGAGAGGATGGCTGAGGAGGCGAGGCTGGCAGCGGTGCATGCAGCGAGCGAGCAGCAGAGCAGGACTAGCCTGTTTGACAACGAGTCCAGGAGGCTGAGAGGGGAAGAGGAAGGGGAGGGCGAGGGTGCGGGAGAGGAGGGAATGGGGGCAGGCAGGGAGGGAGAGGAGGGCATGGCTGCAGATATGGATCTACTGAACCCGTATGTGCTTCGAGGGTGAACATTGCACCTGCTTTGCATTGACATTGGGAGATGTTTCCGCTCCTGCTACCTTCTTCCCTCCGCTTTTCTGCCCACCCTTCTGCTCCCCTCCTGTTCCTCCCCACGCATGCTTCTGAACCCGTGCGTGCACATGCATTGCGGACTGTATCCGCACCCGTTCCCACTTCCATCCCCATCTTCTCCCCCACCCCCCCGGTTGTCCGCCCACCCTTCTGCTCCCCCTCCGCCTACTACTTCCCAGCCCCTCCCTCTCCTACTTTCCCCTCACCCTTCAACTCCCCCCTCCTTCCCCACCCTTGTTCCCTTTCCTTCCGCCCGGTCCTTTTCACCCTCGCCCTTTTTTTCGGGATGCCTCTCACCGTCCTTCCCTCCGCGGCAGGTCCACGATGCCGGAAGCCTCGACGGTGGCGCAGCCCAGCATCTTCAGAGGGCGGCTCAAGGAGTACCAGCTCAAGGGGCTGCAGTGGCTCGTGAACCTCTACGAGCAGGTGCGCTCAGTATCTTGTACTATACCAGTAAACGGGCCTTGTAGAGACAGAGACCAACTGGGCAGCTGTTAGCTGCTCTAGGATTGCTAGCTGACAGGGCGTTTGAGGTGCCTGGGAAGCTGAATCAAGTAGTACTCCTTGATTCTGCTCTCAAGGGGCTGCTGCAGTGGCTCGTGAGCCTCTACGAGCGGCATGTGCCTGCTTGAGTCTCTTTGGTCTTCTCCATTGTCCCCCGTGCAGCTCCTTGATCTCCAGTATCGCTCAGTTTCCTCCTCATCCTCTGTTTCCTTGTGGCCCAATCCCACTGCCATCACCACCATCACCACCATCACCACCATCACCACCATCACCACCATCACCACCATCACCACCATCACCACCATCACCACCATCACCACCATCACCACCATCACCACCATCACCACCATCACCACCATCACCACCATCACCACCATCACCACCATCACCACAATCAGGGTTTGAACGGCATCCTGGCAGACGAGATGGGGCTTGGCAAGACCATCCAAGCCATGACCTTCCTTGCTCACCTGGCAGAGGTACGCCTCTGTGTCATGACCAACTAAGGTGCTGCATTCTCTGCATTCAAATTCCCGCAGCCCACGTAGTTCCCCCCGCCTCACCCATTTTTCGCCTTGCATGGGCCTGTCACTTCCGTCGCTCAAGCTCGCGCTCTCCCTTCCCTCTGCTCCCATTTCTCACCCCTTGTCCTCCTCCTCCTCCTCCTCCTCCTCCTCCTCCTCCTCCTCCTCCTCCTCCTCCTCCTCCTCCTCCTCCTCCTCCTCCTCCTCCTCCTCCTCCTCCTCCTCCTCCTCCTCCTCCTCCTCCTCCTCCTTCCTCCTCCTCCTCCTCCCCCCCCACTCCCCAAATGCCTCTATCGTCCGTCCAATACCTGTGGAGAGCAGGAGAAGGGCATCTGGGGCCCGTTTCTTGTGGTGGCGCCAGCATCTGTTCTCAGCAACTGGGCGGACGAGCTTGCACGGTATGGCATGGCATGGCTGTGGAACAGGAATGGCAAGAGTGGAGTGTTTGTTTTGAATGATCAACGATGGCATTAGGATGGTGAATGAATGATCCCCCAAGTGTGTGCCATTGCACTCAAATGGCATGGCATGGGATAGTAGTGGTTTTGAGAATTCTCAAAAACACCCTGCAAAATCATCGTCATCCCTTCCCCTATGCTATCGTTCGCCTCTCTCTCCTCACCCGTCCCTGTTATCTTCCCACATTCCCCACATTCCCCATTCTCTCCATTCCCCATTCTCTCCATTCCCCCCCCAGCTTCCTGCCTGAGTTCAAGGTGCTGCCGTACTGGGGCGGCCTGCCAGAGCGCACAGTGCTGCGAAAGAACATCCACCCGAAAAAGCTCTACCGCAAGTAAGCGCACTCTCGCACGGGTGGCACACGTATGCACTCACGCACATTCACACAAAACTTAATTCACACACACACACACCAAGCCTCCACTTTTTTCTCCTCAACCTCTTTACCCCTCTTCTCTTTTCTCTTTCTCCTCCTCCCCCCCCCCCCCTCTCACTCCCCAGGGACGCGGCGTTCCACGTGATGGTGACGTCGTACCAGCTGCTGGTGGCGGACGACAAGTACCTGCGGCGAGTCAAGTGGCAGTACCTCGTGCTGGACGAGGCGCAGGCCATCAAGAGCGCCGGCAGGTGCGTGCATGCCCCCTCTCAGTACAGATCTACTGCCTGCCGGCAGGTGCACGTGCATGCAGGCAGGCCTGTCCAATCCAAGTTCCAACCAACAGTCCTTGCACAGTGGTGGTGACTTTTGAGGGATTTAAAGAATCTGTCCAACAGTCCTTGCTTGCACAGTACGGTGGCGATTTTCTTGAGTTGAGTCAAGTGGCACAGTAGTACCCCGTGCTCGACGAAGCTCAGCTCATGCCATCAAGCTCGCTGGCGGTTTTTCTCAGCTGTTTCTCTCTCATGAAGGGTGATGACCTTTGAGTTGACTTGTGAGGTACTTTGGGCTGGAAATGTAACCCACCCTCTCCCCTCAACCCTCCCCCCCTCCCCAACCGCCCGGCTCCACTCATAATCCCGCCTTGTCTGCGGCATAGGGTGGCGCGCGCAACCGGATGCTGCTGACGGCCATGTCCTTTGTACACACTTACATTACATCATACCCACGTCGGTTATCCAAGCGTCCCCTCAACACCCCCCCCCCCCCGCCCCCCTCCCCTCCCTCTTTCCTCCCCCATTCCCCCATCCTCTCCTTCTCCTTCCCCTCTCCCCTCCGAAACTGCACACGGTCTGCAGCATCCGGTGGCGCACGCTGCTGTCGTTTTCGTGCCGCAACCGGCTGCTGCTGACGGGCACGCCGATCCAGAACTCCATGGCGGAGCTGTGGGCGCTGCTGCACTTCATCATGCCCACGCTCTTCGACAGCCACGAGCAGTTCAGCGAATGGTTCTCCAAGGGGTACGCGTGGGGGGGGGGGGGGGGGCTTTGGGGGAGTATGCATGGAGGGTGGTGGTTCAAGCGGGCGTGTTTTCATTCATGCGCATGGTGTTTTGTTCCGCTACTTGCTCTTCAACATGGCACAAACATGCGGTCATCCTTGATTCATTCATGCTTCCGCACACTTGTACCCTTTACAACAACATGGTGCCATGCCACGGGCACCACCTTTCTAAGACACCATGCATACCCACCTCCTCTCTCCTCACCTCGCACTTCCACTTGCGTCTCCCCCTGTTCCCACCTCTCCCCCGCACCACCCCCCCTGTCCCTCACATCCGTGGGCAGCATTGAGGGTCATGCGGAGCATGGAGGGCTGCTCAACGAGCATCAGCTCAGCCGACTGGTATGTGCTCCGACTTCTCTCATGGCGAAAACGACTTTTTGAGGCACCTTAAATATCTGCTGGTATGTGCATGTGCTTTATCTTTTATCTCATGGCAAAAGCGTCTCGTGACAATGGCGTTTATATGCTCTTCCTCGCTTCTTTCCCTTGCCAATCCAACTGCCCTTCAACATTATTCCAACTGCCGTTTTGAAGCCACTCCAGCTGCTGGGATGAGTGAAAGAGGACCTCTCTGGTTTCCCACAATCATGCTCCTTGTTTTTGCAACCTCACATCCCTCCGTGACACGACCCCATCCCCATCCCCAGCATGCCATTCTGAAGCCGTTCATGCTGCGGCGCGTGAAGAAGGACGTGGAGACGGAGATGAGTGGCAAGCGCGAGCTGGTGGTGCCGTGTGAGCTGCGTGCGCGGCAGCAGGCGCTGTACCGCGCGGTGAAGAACAAGATCTCCATCGCCGACCTGTTTGACAGTGTGGGAGGGCAGATCAACGAGAAGAAGGTCCTGCACCTCATGAACCTCGTCATCCAGCTGCGCAAGGTGCGGATGTGTGTATGCGTGAACCTGTGTGTGTATGGGGCTTGCTTTGTTTTGAGGCGCTTAAAAAGTAGGGGGCCCCTGCACCTGGGGCTGGGATGAATAAGCCTCGTCGTCCAGCTCAATATGGCGAGTTTCTTGAGGCGCCTCAAACCCCAAATCCTATCTTCAGAACGAACCCTGTCATCCTCTAGGTGTAACAGAATAGACCATATTGAGCTATTCGGGCGCAACGAAGCTACAGCCTACTTCTTTCTTCGCCACCCTTTCTCTTTCCTGCCCCATCCTCCCCCCCCTCTTCCCCTCCCCCCTCCTCCCCCCCCCGCCTTCCTCCAGGTGTGCAACCACCCCGAGCTGTTTGAGCGCAACGAGGCCAAGGCGTACTTCTATTTCGCCACCATCTCCCCGCCGCTGCAGCCTCCTCCCTTTGGGGAGCCCGACTGGGTGCCGTACAGCGGCCGCCACAACCCCATCTCTTACACGGTAGGCGCTTTGTGCTGTGGGAATAGTCTGAGGACGCTTGGGTGTGCGCGTGAGTGGGAATAGGCTTTGTGCTTTGTCCACCGTCCACCGTCCACCGTCCACCGAACACCGGCGGACGCCGTCCACCGTCCACCGTCCACCGCACACCGGTGGATGCCGTCCACCGTCCACCGTCCAACGCACACCAGTGGACGCCGTCCACCGTCCACCGCACACCGGTGGACGCCGATCACTCCGCCGTCCACCGCACATCGATGGACACCCTCCACCGTCCTCAGTCCACCGTCCACCGAACACCGGTGGACGCCGTCCACCGTCCACCGTCCACCGCACACCGGTGGATGCCGTCCACCGTCCACCGTCCACCGCACACCGGTGGACGCCGCCCACCGTCCACCGCACACCGTTGGACGCCGTCCACCGTCCACCACACACCGGTGGACGCCGTTCACCGTCCATCACACACCGTTGGATGCCGTCCACTGCACACCGGTGGGCGCCGTCCACCGCACACAGCACAACGTCGTCCACCGTCCACCGCCCACCTTCCAACGCCCACCGTCCACCGCCCACCGTCCACCGCCCACGTATGGTGTTTTTGAGAGTTCTAAAAAGCACCCTGCAAAACCATGCTGTTCCAGTAGTTCTATCACACATGCAATGCGTGCTCATGCATCGTGTTGCTCGGAGTTGGGCGGGGCAGCATGTGTGTGGGCGTGAATGAGGGAGTGAGTGAGCGATGCAGAGGGAAGGTGTGTCAGTGAGTGAGGGTGTGTGAGGGGGGGGGGTGGGTGAGTGAGTGAGTGAGTGAGTGAGCGAGGGTGTGTAATTGCCTCATCCCATTTTCCTCCCTCCCTTCTGCTTGACCAACTATCTGTCGACCTTACCTCTCCTTGTGTCCCTCCTCTCTTTGCGCTCCTCTCATTCCTTCTTTCTCTATCCCCCGTCTCCCCCTCTCCCCCCCCGCAGATCCCGAAGCTTGTTTACCGGGAGTGCACGCCCGCGCTCCCTCCCGCCTCGTCCGGTGTCTTCCAGGGCTTCTCTCAGAAATGGCTCTACCACCGGCTTTCCATCTTCTCCCCTCTCCACATCCACCACTCCCTCTTCCCCCGCTCTCCCCCACCCGCCTCCTCCTCCTCTCCCTCCTCCTCCCCCTCCGCATCCTCCTCGTGCCCCCGCTCTATCCTATCACCTGCTATACTGCGGCTCCCTTCCCCCTCCTCTCCCTCCGCCTCCTCATACTCCTCCACTCCCTCTGCAGTCTCCCCGTTCGCCTTTCTTCGCCTCCTGAATCTAGCACCATCAGACCTTACCTTCCTAGCCCGAGCCACGGCTTTTGAAAGGGCAGTTGCAGGGGAGCTGATGAGGCAAGCAGGGTGTGCGCAGGTGTTTATGGGGCAGGGTTCTGCTGACTGGGTGGATGATTGGGAGGAGGATTGGGCGGTAGGAAAGGGGAGGAGTGGGCGGCGGAGGAGTGGGGCGAGAGGGGGGGGGAGGGAGGCGGACAGTGGGCGAGGGGAGGGAGGGGAGGGGAGAGAAGGGAAGGGCAGGGAGGGTCGCGAGGAGGACGACGAGGAGGTGGGAGAGGAGGAGGAAGGGATGGAGGATCGGTTGCTGGCTGTACATAGATTGCTGTGTGTGAAGCCTAGAGGTCAGGGGGCTGTGCTGAGAAGAAGAGAGCACTGGCTGAGGAAGGTAGCGGAAAGACGGTTGGGTGACAAGGAGGAGAGGGGCGTGGGGAAGGAGCAGGCGAGAGGGAAGGAGCAGGAGAGGGGGGAGGAGCAGGAGAGGGGGACGGAAGGAGAGCAGGAGAGAAAAGTGTCAAGGCAGGGAGAGGAGGAAAGGAAAGAGGAAGTGCCTGGGGAGGATGGAGGTCCGGGGCGGAAGCAGATGGATGAAGGGAGAGGGAGCGATGGGGAGAATGGAGTGGAGGTGAAAGAAGGGGGGGATGCGGAGATGGAAGAGGGGAGGAAAGGAGGGGAGGAGAGGGAGGGAGGTGAAAGGGAGGGGAGAGGAAGAGAGAGAGACAAGGAAAGGAAGAGGGATGATGGGACGGAGGAAGGGAAACCGAATGGTGAGGGTGAGGGTGAGGAAGCAATGGAGGTGGAGGGGGGAAAGGAGAGTGGTGAGAAGAGCGGGGAGGTGAAGGAAGAGAGAGAGGAGATGGGGCAGAAGGAGGAGGTGGGAAAGCAGGGGAGTGCTGGCACTGAGGTGAGTGACGATATCAAGATGGAGGAGGTGAAGGAGGAGCCAGAGTTGAAAGGAGAAGAGGGGGAGAAAACGCTGGGGATAATGGAGGGTGGAGTGAAGGAGGAAGACGAGGAGGAGAAAGAGTCGGCTAACCGATCTGAATGCGCTAATAACAAGAATAATGTGGATATCAGCATTGACAGGAGAAGTAACGACCACGATACCAACAGCGGCAAGAACAGCAACGCCGCCAATACGGAGCGCACTAACAACGACAGAAAGCATCATGCTAGAAGTGCCGACACTAACAACGACAGCGGCGGCGCCAATAACAACAACAACAACAACAACAATGACGACAACAGCAGCAGCTGCAGCAGCCGCGTGCCCTTCCTAACAGGCTGGCCGAAAGACCCTCCGCTCCTCCTCCCCTCCCCTCTCATCTCCTCCTTCCCCGCCCGTCTCTACCACTCCGCCTCCATCATTCGCACCACGCGCACATTCATCCCCCCTGTCCGTGCCCCCCCCATCGACATCATCTGCCACGACCGCTCCTTTGCCTACCAGCAGCAGCAGCAGCTCTACCCCCCCTGGGCCCTCCATCTTCTCTTCGGCTTCACCAGGATCAACGAGCTCTCCGGCCCGTTCCTGTATGCGGACCCAGCCGCACGGCTGTCTGTGCCCCCCCCTGCGTCCTCACCAGTGCTAGCGGTGATGGGGGAAGAGGAGGGGGGCGTGGAGGGGATGGGTGGTGGCAGGGGGGAGGTGGAGGGGGCTGGTGGTGGCGGTGGTGGTTCTAGGGGCGGGATGGAGGTGAGGCTGCCGCGGCCGCTGCTGGGCGTGCAGCATGACGTGGAGGGATCGGCGCCACCCATCCAGATCTTTGACTTCTCTAAAATGCTCACGGTGAGCAAGGGGGAGGGAAGGGAGAGGAGGAGGGGGGGGTGGGCTGGAGGAACTGGAGGGGGTTCTTTCTGGGGCTCAAACCAGGCCTATTCACATCGATGACCTCTCCAAAATGCCCTCATTATGTGGTAACCCTCGGCAGGGGACACATACGAGCTCCACTTGTCGTTCTCTTTTGTCCTCCTCCCTCCCTCCGACCCCACCCTTGCTCTCCCCCGCCCCCATCACTCCCTCTGTGCGCCCCCCAGGACTTGGGCAAGCTGCACCAGCTTGATGTTTTGCTGATTATCTTGCTCAAACCCTCTCCCTCCCCTTTCATCCCACCCCCCACCCCCCCCCCTCTCCCAGGACTCGGGCAAGCTGCACCAGCTGGACGTGTTGCTGCGGCGGCTGAGAGTGGAGGGCCACCGCGTGCTGCTGTTTGCCCAGATGACCAAGATGCTCAACATCCTCGAGGTAACGGGGGGGTCTGTTGCTGCTTGTGGGGAAGGGGGATGGAATGGAATGGGATGGGATGGGATGGGATGGGATGGGATGGGATGGGATGGGATGAGAGGAAATTGCAGATTCAAAAGGCACTTTCGAGGTGCCTGAGAACGCACGGTCCTTCTCCCCGGCTTTCCCCGTGTGCCCCCCTTCCCCCTCCCCGCCCCCCCCACATGGACTACCGCAAGTACAAGTACCTGCGGCTGAGGCTATGTGCGTTTGTCTCCCCATCGTGCCCCTTTGTTCCCCCGCATTCTCCCCCCCACCCCCCCCAGGACTACATGAACTACCGCAAGTACAAGTACCTGCGGCTGGATGGGTCGTCCACAATCGTGGACCGCAGGGAGATGGTGAAGGACTTTCAGCACAAGTAAGAGGGGGTTGCAGCACAAATGGGGGAGAGGGGTTGGTTCACCACAGGTGGGGGTTGGTTCACCACAGGTGGGAGTTGGTTCACGACAGGTGGGAGTTGGTTCACCACAGGTGGGAGTTTGTTCACCACAGGTGGGAGTTGGTTCACCACAGGTGGGAGTTTGTTCACCACAGGTGGGAGTTGGTTGTGGGTCGACTCAGAGGCACGATTGTGGACCGCAGGGAGATGGTGAAGGACTTCCAGCACAAGTAAGAGGCCAGTGCAGCACACAGGTGGGGATTGATTGCAGCACAGGTGGTTAGCCTGCCTGCCTAACTTTGCTTGCTTTTCCCTTTATGGTGTGCTTGCTTTCCCCACGCCACGCAATTTCCTCTCCCCCTCTGTAGCACCCCACCTCGCCGCAGGTCGGACATCTTTGTGTTCCTGCTGCTGAGCACGCGCACGGGCGGGCTGGGACTAATCTGAGTTTTGCATCGACTCAGAATCAGAAGTCCCTAACCACACGCACGCCACCCGTTTTCAGAATCTCCCCGTCTTACTTTTGAGTCGACTCAAAAGCAGTCCCTGTCGTCCTTTCTTTCTTCCTCCCCTTCCCCCACCGCTCCCCCCTCTTGCACCCCCACGGCAGGTCGGACATCTTTGTGTTTCTGCTGAGCACGCGGGCGGGTGGGCTGGGCATCAACCTGACGGCGGCGGACACGGTGATCTTCTACGAGAGCGACTGGAACCCCACCATGGACCTGCAGGCCATGGACCGCGCGCACCGGCTGGGGCAGACCCGAGAGGTGAGAAGGGTTTGTATAAAGGAGAGGAGGGGGGGGGGGGGGGGGGGAAGAGGGAATTGTAGGGAAAGTGGGGAAGGTATGGAGGGGGGGAGGGGGAGCGGCTGGAACCCCACCATGGACCTGCAGGCCATGGACCGCGAGAGGTGAGAAGGGTTTTGGGGGGGGGGTCGGGGAGTGAGAGGGGAGGGAAGGAGGGGTTGGACGGGAGGGTGGGAGGGGTGAGAAGGTAGGGGGAAGTGAGGGCGGGGAGGGAGGCCGGGTTGAGAGGAGATGTGGAGGGGTGAGCGGCTTGTGAGGGTGGTTTGGGAACGGGAGGACAGGTCTTTTATGTTTCCTCCTCGTGTCCCCCACCCCTATCGAATGATCTGTGGCAGCAAAGGTATTGGTGGGGTTGCCTCATGTATTCTTCCCAACCTTCCTGTGCCCATCGTTCCTCTCCCCCCCTCCTTTCTCTCCCCCCTTCCTTCCTCTCGCTCCGCCCTGCCTTGGTCCCCTCCCTGGCCCTCTCTCAGGTGACGGTGTACCGCATGATCTGCGGCGGCACGGTGGAGGAGAAGATAGTGAAGCGCGCCAACCAGAAGAACACTGTGCAGCAGCTCGTCATGACGGGGCAGGGCGGCGCGGGCGGCGGGCTGGTGGCGGGCGGCGGGGGAGCCGGGGGCGGGGACGTGTTTGAGGCGGAGGAGGTGGTGTCGCTGCTGCTAGACGATGCTGAGCTGGAGGCGCAGCTCAAGGCGCAGCAGGAGCAGGCTGCTGCAAAACAGAACTCGGTACGTGTGTGCGTGGGAAGCGGGGGGGGAGGGAAAGAGGGAAGTGGTGAGAGGAAGGATAGAGGGTTATGATCGGCGATGGTCCGCTGTTGGGCAGAAGTCGGTATGTGTTGTAGGAATAGGGAGGGAAGAAGGGAGCGAGGGTAGAAACTGGTTGGGAGGGGGGGGGGGGGAGGCGACGTGTTTGAGACGGAGGAGGTGGTGTCGCTGCTGCTGGATGACGCTGAGCTGGAGGCGCCGCTCAAGGTGCAGCAGGAGCAGGCTACTGCCAAACAGAACTCGGTACGTGTTACTGGGGGGATAAGCACACGAGTACACACTCCTGTAAAGGATCAATGTAACGGAGCAGAGCCTCTCGAACTTTTCCTCTTCCACAATCCCACAAGTCCGTTTCTCCCCCCGTCTCCTTTTCCTCTCCCCCCCCCTCCCCCTCCCCCTTCCTTCGTTCCTCCCATTCCCTTCTTCCTCCACCCTCCCCCCCCTCAGGATCGGAGGCGGAGACGAGGGTCGAAGAAGATTCGACTAGACGCGGAGGGAGGGGAGGCGGTGGAGGAGGAGGAGGGGGCGAGGGGAGGGGAGGAGTCAGGAGGAGGGAGGCGAGATGCAAGCGGGGGAGCATCGGAGAATGCGTCTGGGGCGGATGGTACAGGAGGGGCTGAGGGGGCAGGTGCAGGCTCACACAAGGTGAGGGCGGTGACTCGGATCGTTTCTTTTTTGAGGTGACTTTCTGTGTCGCTGGTCGCTGGTGTCTTGTTCGCTCGGCCTGGTGAGTCACTCACTCCGCCTCTCATCACTCTCCCCTGCTTGTCATTTGTCGTGCACAATGTCACTCGCGGACTTCTCTGTTGCTGCTGCCTTTTGAGTCGACTCAAAAGTCTTCTCTGCTGCTGCTGCCTTTTGAGTCGACTCAAAAGTCTTCTCTGTTGCTGCTGCCCCTCACTCCCCTAGCACAACCCTGTACATTTCTGTCTCCCTGTTTTTGAGGCGCCTCAATAATAAACCCTGTATATTCAGGTCTCCTTGAATTTTATTCTTCCTCTATCACCCTTCTCCCTGTATATCCCCGCTGTCCTTGTCTCAGCGAAAGAGGCAATCAGATCGGCCCCCAAGACCTGGAGCCAGGGGCAAAGGGAGAGGTGGCGCTGCTGCTGCTGCTGCTGCCGCTGCAGCTGGTGGTGCGGCTGCTGCTGATGCCAGCACGGGGCGTAAAAGAGGGAGAGCAGCAGGCGCAGCTGCAGCAGCAGCAGCAGCGGCGGCAGCGGCAGCGGCAGCGGCAGAGGCAGCAGCAGCTGCGGCAGTGGCAACACCAACAGCGGAAGAAGAGGAGGAGGGAGCAGGGGTAGGGAACGGTATAGGTGGAGGAGGTGTGGTAAGACGAGCAGGGGGGGCAGGGGAGTTGTCGGATGTAGGAGGTGGTGCCGAGGGTGGTTTATCCGAGGCAGCAGAGCGGAACGGATGGGGGGCGAGAGAAGCGGTTCTGGAAGGCACAGCAGCCAAGAGACGGAGAGGACCAACTCCTCAAAGGAGGAGATTGAGTGCCATGGGGTGGGTGAATGAGGGGAGAACAGGAGAGGATAGTGGGGGAGGAGGAGGAGGGATAGATGGGAGAAGTAGAGGAGGGAGTGGAGCAGGGGAGGATGAGAGGAGTGGTAGAGGGGGGGAACAGGGGGGAGATGGGGGTGGGGGTGGGAATGGGCAGGAAGGAGGGGAGGAGAGGGAGCAGGTGCGGACGAAGGCACTGCGTGTGAGGTTGAATATGAGGAGAGGGAGAGGGGAGGTTGGTGGTGGGGGGGGAGGAGGGTTGGAGGGAGATGGAGCAGTGGATTGAAAGCTTTGAAGCGTCTGATTGGAACAGTGGGTTTTGAAGCAGAGGCAGAGATGTCATGGCTTGAGTTGTAAGGGTGATGAACAGAGGAACCATCAGGTTTCTTGATGTGTCCTGGAAATAAGCGGGGAAGGAGGGGGGGGGGGGGGGGGAGGGTGCGGGAAGGAGGAGAGCAGCAGGAAAAAGTCTCTTACTGCACTTGCTGCCGGTATTCTTGAAAGCGCGGCAGCAATGATGGGGCAGGCAGGGAGTGGCACTACTATATAAACAGAAGCCATTCTCACCGCTACCGTGCTTGCACACATGTGATCAAGGTGTCCGCATTGTGCCTGGTGTGGCACTCCAACCAGAACATTGTTTGGGTCAGAGAGCGGAGGAGAACAGTGTGCAGCGGTTGCTGTAGTGGGCGAGTTATACTGAAAGCAAAGTTTTGCCACCTCTTCTTTTCAACCCCTGCATGAGCAGCATGCATGCATTGAGGCAGCTTGCAGTAAAATTCCAGAGATCAGTTCTAGGTTATGGCATTTTCAGATTTACGGTCATACTGTATGGTGCTACAGTATGGTGCTACAGTGCATGACACACTGTTCATTTCAGATGACGCGCATGGCCAGGTCTAGGCTTGCCGTGCCATGCTTGGTAGGTTATTGAACTTTACTGTAGAGGGTACAACCCCCCTCCTTGTATGCCTCTCTCTTCTAGTTGCCCCCTTTTCTCTTGTAACTTTCTCTCCTAGCTCCTAAACCTCTCGCCATTTCATGACCGCCTACCTTCCTAGCTAACCTAGCTTCATAACATGGTTTCAGAGCAGGCCACTTTCGCTCGGGCCTTCTCCTCACGCTTCCGCAGCGTACTCCCCCCCGTCATGCCGCGCTGGCCCCGTCAAACCGTGCTGGCCCCGTCACGCCGTTCTGGCCCCGTCACGCCGCGCTGGCCCCGTCCCTCCGTGCTGGCCCCGTCACGCCGTGCTGGCCCCCCTCACTCCGCGCCGGCCCCGTAACTTCGCGCCGGCCCCGTCACTCTGCGCCGGCCCCGTTACTCTACGCCAGCCCCGTCACGCCACGCCAGCCCCGTCACTCTCCGCTGGCCCGTCCCTCCGCGCCGGCCACGTAGCTCCGCGCCAGCCCCGTCACGCCGCGCCGGCCCCGTCACTCTGCGCCGCCGAGACACTGAGCCGTGCCGCTGTGCCTCAGCGACGCCGTGCCGCCGTGTCATCGTGCCGCCGTGCTGCTGGGGCGCCGTGCCGCCGTGCTGCTGGGGCGCCGTGCCGCCGTGCCGTCGTGCTGCCGTGGCGGCTTCGCCGCGCCAGCGCATGGACGGCTGCGGCCAGCGCCCTGTCCCAGGCGCCAGCCGTGACGCCCTCCCGCCAGTAAGCGCCAAGCCACCCATGGCACGCCGCTGAAGATTCGTCCGCCAGTAAGCGACGCGCCAGCCATGGCGCGTGGCTGAAGATTCCCCCCTCCCCCCCCCCCCCCTCCTTCCCCTGCGTCTCCTCTTCCTCCTGCCGCAGCTGCTGTCTTCTACCCGATCGCCGCCTCGCCGTGCCACATCGCCGAGAGCCTTTAGCCATGGCCGTAGCCCGCGCTGCCTCTCGCCGGGGGATGTCACCATGCCAAGCCCGAGGGGTAGATACGCGGCTGATCACGAGCTTGGGGGTGTAAGGGGTTAGGGGGTGTGTGTGTTGGGTGGGCTTGTGACTACCAAGCCTAGGGGGTGTGTTAAATTATATAATGTGTTATATAATTGGTAGGCTTGGTAGGTTATTGAACTTTACTGTAGAGGGTACAACCCCCCTCCTTGTATGCCTCTCTCTCTTCTAGTTGCCCCCTTTTCTCTTGTAACTTTCTCTCCTAGCTCCTAAACCTCTCGCCATTTCATGGCCGCCTACCTTCCTAGCTAACCTAGCTTCATAACACAGGGCTCTCGACATCAGACAAAATCCGTCTGTTTGTCTGATTTTCAGACTCTTATTTGGGCGTTCCTCTGATTTTTTAGATACCTATTTCTAGAATTTCAGATGTCCTAGAAACTGAATTATAGTCCTGAAATTTCAGAATGTGTGTTCTTGTTCTTCTGATTTTACAGACTTAACGAATACGTTCCTCTGAAACCGATGACCGTGAGGCTGCATCCAGCCCCCCCTAAATCCATGCGTGTGCAGCGAATCGCGCGTCGGCCCGCCCAATGGGGCATCATTACTTACAGTTTCGGCGCCAGCACAACGTCGGTGAGACAAGTGCTGACTCATATGCTGCTCACTGTGTGGCACCACTGTGGGCGATTGAGTCAGCCGTGTAGTCTCATTGGCCCATCCCCTTCCAACACACAATGACTCTCCACCGTTGCACTCCAGCCGTGATAGTGCATCCATGCATTGGCAGCATCTCTCTCCCCCATTGGCTTGTCCTGTTAGACAAGGCAGAGCCCCTCCCATTAGGTTGTCCTGCTAAGTAAGGCTGCGGGGCCTCTCCAATTGGCTTGTCCTAATAGCCATAGCAGCATAATCTCCCATTGGCTTGTCGCAACATGCATTCCCAGCTGGCCTCCCCACGAACCTTCGTTTTAGGGGGATCATTCTACTTTACACCATTGAAACAGGCTGTGGTTCGATGCATGCTGAAAGAGAGGTGGGGAACTCCCTTTCTTCTTCATCGTTCTCTTCGACAAGCTCCCCTGTCCACCACTATGCCCTCGTTTCACTATCATTACCGCACCCAGGTTAGACCTGCTCCATAGCGTATCTCACTCGTTTGCCGCGCCAATCAATTTTAGATGGCTGGCAGCACCACCACTGACGACGGCGCCGCCGTCATAGCTCAGCCCATTCCCGCTACTGCACCCCCAATGAGGGGGCTGGATTTTCTACGCCAGCCTCCACCTAGGCGAGAGACGCCAGAGGTCGTGCCTGCGCCAGCTGTTATTTCCCCAGCCGAGCCTCTGCCTTTCTCTGACTTACTCCCGGAGATTGATGCTGAGCCTTTGCTCGCATCCACTCCACTTGCCTCTCCTCGCTCTCCCACTGCTGCCGTGGGGATCCCCTCGCCTCCACTCTCAGTAGCTGCGATCCCAGCGCTGCCTTCGAGACGGCCCGCTGGAAGGTACACACAAAGCACCATTCGATTCGCGCGTACCCGTGTTCCTCACATCAGGCTAGAGACTTCCCGACTTGCCGCTAATGCAACGCCATCTGCGACCCAAAAGGCGGGAATGTCTGTTTCGGCTTCTGATCCAAAGCCGAGCATAGGAAGCTGCTCTCGTCTCATCCCCAGCCCCGATGCACTTCTTGCTGAATTGAAGGCGAAGGCCGACGAGCTGTGGGTGCGAAAATTCCCCTGGCTGCTCATCGACCAATGCCCCGACAGACGTCCGTTCATGAAGTGTCGATTGTGCATGGCGCACGCTCCTTCGAAGTGGCAGTACGGCAAGTACGGCAATGGAGGTGTCGACATTCAGAGGCAGACGATGGTGAAGCACTCCCAAAGCAAGAAGCATGAGGCTGCGGAGGATCGGCAGAAACAGCTGGATGGGCTAAACACTGCGCAGCCGAGCATTGTCGACTTCAACGACAACCAGGGAGCCGACGCGCGGCTCAGGCAGTTGATGCTTGTTGTGCTTTGGATTCGCAAGTCTGATGCTTCTATTACCGTTTTTGTTTCTCTGGTCCGTCTTCTCTATGATCTCCGCACTCCCCACATCCCCGAGAAATCCCCCGGGTCTTACCAATCTGAGTAAGTTGGGCTCTGCTATCATTTTGGTGAACTCTTAAGTTAAAAACCTCCCTAACCGTTGTTTTTTTACTGCTGCAGGTACGGCTTCAAGCAAATCACAGAAGCACTCGTTGTTTACCTACGAGCACAGCAGATGAAGCACATTCAACAGTCGTCGTTCGTGGGCATCCAGCTGGATGAGAGCACCGACAGGAGGTAGGATAAACACATGATTGTGTACCTCACCTTCTTGAAGAACGCCAAGGTGGTGACCGAGTTTTTCGGGCACCTAACAGTTGAGAGGTGTGATGCCAGCTCTCTACTGACGCTGCTGCTGGACCACCTCAAAGCCACCAGCGTAGACGTGAACAAGATCATTGGCATCAGCACTAATGGAGCCAACGTCATGACGAGGGCGAAACGGGGCCTTGTCGCTCAGCTCCGCGCCAGGGTCCCGCATCTCGTGTCTTGTCATTGCATCGCCCACAGGTGAGCTTTTTGATTTATACAGTTGTATAGTGGTACCCTGGCATCCAGAAACATCCCTTATCCTAATTACGTGCTTTATGCAGAGAGGCGCTCGCGGCTAAGGACGCTGCCAACGATTGTCCCGACCTCGAGATCGTCGACAAAGTTGTCCGAAGCCTAGCCAACATCCTTGGCCGCTCCATTGTCGTGCACTCAAGATTCCAGGAGCTGCAGCGTTTCATCCACGACACAACACTTGAAATGCAGGGTATCAAAGACATTCGTTGGTTGTCTCGCGGTGATGCCATTCAGCGTCTCGTACAAGTCTTTTCGGCTGCAGTGTTGCTGTTGTATGAGTTCGATGATGACATGTACCATATCGTTAGCAGGTTTAAGTTCTACTTCCTTCTGTTTTTCCTAGCTGATGTTCTCAAGGAGCTCAACAACTTGAACAAGAAGTTTCAGCGCCATGTGGTGAGTGATTGCCCTGCATGCGATTTTTAATATCTTGTCCCTAAAACTAATAAACTTTGTGCTGTCCCTTGAACTAATTTGCCTTATGCCCTTCCCACATGTCGACATCACCAAGGTGGCCCAGCTGGTAGAGAACACATGCAACATCCTCTGCTCTGGCAACGTGGAGTATGGCGTCAACTGCGACGAGGAATCCAAGCTACTCACCGAGTTTTTGGAGGAGCATGGCTCGAAGGACAAGCGGATGGTGACAGTGGAGGGCATTGACGGCGCTGGCAACCCAACGGCTCACACCTTCAAGCTGCACAAGAAGGCTCTGCCAGGCCAGAAGAGTGAGGGAGACATGGAGTCATGCATCTCACTTGTCACCCTTTTTATGCAGGCCATCATCTGCAACTTGGAGTCGCGAATGGAGATCCTCAACAGTCTCCGTGGGTCAAAACTGTTCTTCCCCGACGCCTACCCCGACTCCGTCGCAAAGCGCGACCGGCTGTGCGCCGAGTGGTTCGGTTCACAAAAGGTCCTCTTCAATGCCACGCAGTATGCCTTGCTGGGTGAGGATTTCTCCACTTAACCTAGCATCAACCATGCACTTGGAAGCCCTCATCCCCCCTCCCACCCTTGTGAGGTGTCAGGCTGTAACTTATATTCTGACATGTGGTTATTTACCCTCCCTTGTTCAGGAGTTGTTTCAGGCAAGGCGGAAAGGGAGCTGCCTCGATTCACACGCATGCTCCATGCTCATTACAAGGATATGTCATTCCACAACTGCTTTAAGAATGTTCTCAGATTCGAAGACTGGCGCACCTCCTATCCCAACCTCTGTAAAAGTAAGAATGAATGACTAGAATGAGAGATATAGGGTGCTTCGTGCTAAGGGGTTGTACTCTCTAGGATTATGCACATATCTAGCCTATATATATATATATGTATATATATAGATATGTTTTGACACACCCCTTAGGCTAGATGAGGGGCAATGCCTGACAAGAGACACACAGCTCAGGGTGGCACAACTAGTCCAACCTCTGAGGCAGGGGTCCGAAGACCAGTCAGCAAGAGTACAAAC